AATAGTTTGCCTGACCACGGTGGTAATCGAACCAGCGACCTTTGGGATACTAGTCCAATGCTCTGTCAACTGAGCTACGAGGTCAAATCGGTTCGAGTTGGTGATATTTCGGAACTAAGGGCCTGTTCATATTGGCAAAAGTTATCCTGGTTACAGCGAGAAAACTTTTCGACAAGTTTACGGCGAGATCTCGCCTTGGTATGAAAATAATATGAAAAGTTACACTGTGTTCATATGAGACAACACGTTTTCCCGAGGACCGAGATCTCGCTTGTTGCCAGGCGAGATCTCGATAACCGGGATAATGTTTTTCCCATATGAACACAACTTTTAGCGGGATAACTTTCTGTCGTGTCAGCAACTTTTCAATTCAATTTATGTTCAGTGCTACGTCACAGCCGGAAACTTTACCCGGTAAGCGGGATAACGTTTCTCCATGTGAACAGCCCTGAGTCTAGTTCCTTCGATATCAATGTATTCTTAGCGAGAAAACATTTCGACTAGCCAAATAATTTTGTTCTGTTCATATCGAGAAACGTTATCCCGCATACCAGGTAAAGTTTCCGACTTGTGACGTAGCACCGGTGTGACGCGCAAGGCGGGAAAAGTTAAAAAACTTTAAATACATTTTAAAACCAGAAAAGTTGGTGACACGACAGAAAGTTTTCCGGCTAAGCGGGAAAGTTGTGGCTATGTTGTGTTCATATGGGAAAAAGATTATCCCGGTCACCGAGATCTCGTGATCTCGTCTGTCAACAAGCGAGATCTCGGTATCACGGGAAAACTTTTCGTTTCACATGAACGCAATGTAACTTTTCATATTATTTTCATAACGAGGCGAGATCTCGCCTGTTAACTTGTCGAAATGTTTTCTCGCTAACCGGGATAACTTTTCCCCATATGAACAGGCCCTAAGATATGACAATTTTTTGTGTGTGTTGGTGTTATGTACTCAGGTCATATGATGTTTGTGATGTTGCCCTGAGTGTGCATCCACGCCGGGCAAGCTGAAAATTTAGCTTGGCCACGGTGGGAATCGAACCCGCGACCTTTGGGATACTAGTTCATGCTCTGCCAACTGAGCTACGCGGTCAAATTGGTTCGAGTTGGTGATATTTCGAAACTGAGTCTAGTTCCTTCGATATCAATGTATTCTAAGAAATGACATTTTTTTGTATGTTTTGGTGTTATGTACTCAGGTGAATATGATGTTTGTGATGTTATGCTGAGATTGAGTGTGCATCCACACCGGGCAAGCTGAATAGACACAGGGCCGGATTAACGTCCCGCGAGGCCCGTGGCAGATTTTCAGCGCGAGGCCCCCAACCTCCCCCCCCCCCCTTATAAAAACCTTTGAATTCAAAGACACACAAAATTATTAAATAATTGTTTTCAATTTTATCCGGAAATCACCGCAATTTCGCAGCCAAGCTATCCCCACCAGGATTTCTGAACAAAAGCTGTTGTCGACAAACAGTGTCACCCACTTAATACAATGCCTTCTATTCAATATTTCAATTGATTAGCATCAATTATAAACGAGACAGATACCTGCCTGGCCCAGTCGTTGGGTCAACAAGTATAAACAGGGTCATATAACAGCTCAGCCCAACTGGAGATTACATGCATACGGGTATTGTATATTTTCCTGGAGCCAACTTCCAAGCCTAGGGCACAGAATACTACACAGAAGTCCATCTCCATTGCTTTTTGCGTAAGCTCTATTCGTCATGATTCGTCACTCAGCAAGTACCATAAACAGAAGCAGTCACCCCCTGGATGTGCGCCGTTTTAAGTATTTCCAGGGGGTGTTTCTGTTTACGGTACTTGCTGAGTGACGAATCATGACGAATAGAGCTTACGCAAAAAGCAATGGAGATGGACTTCTGTGTAGTATTCTGTGCCTAGGGGCTCTAAATGCGCGAGGTCCCTAAATTTGCGAGGCATCTAAATTCGCGAGGCATCTAAATTCGTGAGGCACCTAAAATGGTCGTATCCCAATGGAAAATGGGCGTGTTCTCGTCAAAATGGGCGTGGCGCAGTAAAGCGCGAGGCCCCCATAAGCGCGAGGCCCGCGGCATATGCCGCATCTGCCACGTGGTTAATCCGGCCCTGAATAGACAGAATAGTTTGCCTGGATAGTTTGCCAATGCTCTGTCAACTGAGCTACGAGGTCAAATCGGTTCGAGTTGGTGATATTTCGGAACTGAGTCTAGTTCCTTCGATATCAATGTATTCTAGGATATGACATTTTTTGCATGTCTGTTGGTGTTATCAGTACTCAGGTGAATATGATGTTTGTGATGTTACTCTGAGTGTGCATCCAGGATACACCGGCAGGGGCGGACTGGTTACCTCAAGGGGGCCCGGGCGATTTGGCTAGATAGGGGCCCTGAGCAGCCCCCCCCCCCCAATAAATTTACCTTATCCTATTTTAATCTTTAGTTGGCACTATTACCATTATAGTCATTGATCTGCAAAAATGCCATTGTTTTTTTAAAAGTAACATGTACAAATGAATTATAAATTAAATATGAATTTATGTTCTTAACGTCAAAATGGAGAAAGGAAATAATATGTTCATATTTTCTACTCTTCAATGTCTTCATGACATTAAAAACCGTCTCAGTGCTGAGGAACTGTTGCATGGCAAACTGGTTGATGATCTCTTCATTTGATATGTCACTAACATCTGTTTCTCCATGTACATCAGCATAAGTGCCTCTGATTTTTCCTGTCCAATGTTGCTTCTTAATGACTTAATACAAATTTAAGCGTCGGAAACTTCTTTACTTACTTAAAAACTTACTTAAAAATTTATTTAACCACGCTGGCCATACACAACATATTTGTAAAATACAATGAGTTGAATTTCAGATGGGGCGTTTCGCATTCGACTTGCGTTGCACTAAGCGGTACTAAATACTGATATGCTGCATATAGTTCGCAATACGTAGATGAATTGAGAAATTGAGACCATATTCATAAATGTGTTTGAATGCGCAGCTGAAACATGACCTGCAAGATTTGTTTCTACATACAGCTGCATCCTCAACCTCGTTTCCAGGGTCTCTCCAAGAGGTGAGTCCCTGGGAACGAGGTTGCTGCATCCTCTGACCAGTCATCGTTGCTTTCACTCCCACTATCTTCCGACTCAGAATTCAAGATTGGTATTCTTCAGGAAGTGTCTTAACCAGCTTTGGAAATGTGTGGTGGAAGTCTAGACTTTCTAGTGCATTTTGAGGCAGCCTGTGTCTCCTGAATTCTTCGAACAGGAAAAATCTTGGTAAAATTTCTTCTGGTTCTCAAATCTACTATTGGTGTTTGTTACAATTTTACACATTGAATACATTCACTTGATAGTCCTCATGAGCATCCATCGCCCTATTGTCAGTGTCATCCTTTTCACCGAAACTCGAAAGGTAGTTTCCTTTTTGGTGTTCTTTTCGTCGCTTTGGATGGTAGGCTTTCTTCTATTGCAACATCCGTATCAAAGGAAGCCCGTTTGCTCTTGGCTTTCTTTGCGAACTGTGTGGCGATTAGAGGTGTGCATCGGACCGGATTGGACGTTTATAATCCGACAATTGGCTAATTTTTAAAATCCGATCCGAAATTGTCCAATCCGAATCCGATCCGAGTTGTGATAAAGAATTCCAATCCGATCCGATCCGAAGAATCCTTCAACAAAATAAATTTCTCATTCGAATTCAAGTTGAAATGTTTAATTAACCAAATAAATATAAAAACAAGAAATACATGTCAAGAAGCTGACAAAGTGACGTCCAATTGAAGTATCAAACGAAAAATGCAGCGACAACCGCGATAATGCTTTGATAAATGCAATAATTAATTCATTTTATTTCGAATATCGAAGTCCGATCCGATCCGACTACGAAACAACTTTATCAATCCGATCCGAAAAGTATATTTTTGTTTCGAACGAAGATTTGTAATCCAGGCATTTTATTAAATTATAATTTTTACAAAATTATACAGTGTTTTCCGGATTGTAATAATTCGTTTTAATAAAACAAATTATTACAATCCGGAGAACACTAGTACTGTATAATTTTGTAAAAATTATAATTTTATATATATATATATATATATATATATATATATATATATATATATATATATATATATATATATATATATATATATATATATATATATAAGATTAGAAGATTATATATATAAAATTATAGCTCACTTCCCTTGTGGTTGTTTGAGCACTCTGGGCCCATTACACTCTGCGCATGTCTGGATGCGTCGATGCCTTCGTGTTTGACCACATGCGCTTGGCGAGAGCACGCTCATGTGTATAAATACGGAGGTATCACGTATCTAAACGTGTACCAAGCTGCACTGACGAGGCGTTGAACGCCGAAACATGCATGCCTGCAGATTGTACTATATCTATATCTATATCTATATATATATCTATATATATATATATATATATATATATATATATATATATATATATATATATATATATATATATATATATATATATATATATATATATATAGTACAAAAACATATATATTTATATATATAGCTTAAGATTTTGGTTTACGAAACACAAACAGTGCTCAATACCATATAGATAGAGCGTAATATAGTTTTTCGTTTTACCTCAAAAAACCACAACAGTCTGTTTCATCCGTATAGGAATCATCAAAGACCACCTGATGATTCCTATACGGATGAAACAGACTGTTGTGGTTTTTTGAGGTAAAACGAAAAACTATATATATATATATATGGAGCAATTTATTTTAAGAAATAAATTAGGATTAATAAGAGGCAACATCCATACCGAAAACTATGTAACCTAAACGGAAACGATAAGCAAAGAAAACAACCGCCTACTCTCCGGGCAACATCTGCCAAGTGTCAATGCCAAACTGCCAATATAATCCCATTTTGCTAAGCCGACATTCTTCAGTTATCAGCAATAGCTAACCAAATTCTATCTCAGTTCACTTTGGTTTCAACGGTCTTCGAGACAACATAAAAGAAAAATTTTCCGTACACGAAAATGCCCGTGGTACATTTTTCTCGGATAAATCGAATCTTCCAAGTCCCGACGTTCAGAACCTGAAAAACGGATGCTTTCTATCCACATCTGATCCACTTTAAACCGGTGAGTGCGTTTCATATTGTCATTATACATTATAAGCGCGTTATGTTATCCACTGAAGTTGCTACGAACAGCATAAACCTACCAATGTTCGTCCATGGTAGAACGTTTTTGGAGCCATACTACGTGCGCAATTCGAGTACATCCCATGAACTGTCTAGCTTTTCGTTACCCGCATTTAGTTTACAAACATAGTGGCTATATTGCGCGACTTTGCTCTGAGAGCAGTCACGAGGCAGTTATGAAAACGCAGGTCTAAGCCCATGCAGGGTCAACATGTGTTAGTTGGTGTTAGGACGATAATTTTATATATACACAGGCCTAGCCGTTTGAGGCGCGCGATCGCGCGCGCGCGCCTCCGCACGCGCCTTGGCTCCTCGAGACGCGCCTTTTAACGCGCGCCTCGTTTGTTTAAAGAGTACGAAATCGCGCGTCTGGTTTTTTTATTCTAAATGAATTTTTGCTGGAATAAACCTGGCCATTTAAACTAGTTATAAAAGAATGACTGATTTAATGCTGATAAAATGAAATGATAACTGCATGCTAGTCGGCGAAGGAGCATAAGGAGAATCTTCAACGTGCGTTAGAATTTCACAAGGAGAAAAAGACGCAAAGTCAAACTCGACAGCAACACCGTGGATGAAGAAATTCTGTTAAAAAAGTGTAGAATTGAGAACGACGCCATAACCATTGACGATAACGATGATTCGTCAAGCTAGACGGAAAGCGATGTTGAGATTTTTATTGCTGTTTAAAGTACGATGTATCGTAAATACACGTATTCACCGGTACAAACATTTTATATAGTGCCTACACTAATTTCGTCTAAATGCCAATGTTAAAATTCTTTTGTTCTACATAAATTTTTAATCATTTTTGTGAATGTTATTCTTGTCTATATAGCCAATAAGCGTAATTTTTACCGCTTTTTTAATCGCGCGCCTGACGTTAATATGGCGCGCGATACGCCGCGCCTGCCCAAATACTTACGGCCAGGCCTGGGTATAATATAATCCCATATACGTTTGTCACTTACAATAATGTCCACTTCATCAACAAAATACCCTGCTTTCATGATGAAACATTTGGCCACAGGGCACAGGCATAAACAGAGTCGTCCTACGCATACTACACGCTATAGTCTGAAATTATACCCAAAACACAGTTTAGGCAGTTAGATACATGCCACATGCTTCTGCGTTCATCGACCACAATTTTATTGTATATAGCTACAGTATATGCTCATATTATGTTACTACTACCCGCGTACATAACATATTTTGCTTGAAAGCAGCTACATTTGCGCCCATTCCTCGATATGGCCAGTCAAATTATGCCAGTCTCGCAGAATACTCTCATCTTATACTCTAACTCCTTGTGGTGAGGTATATTCCTGTTTTGTTTTGTTTTGTTTTCCCCATGAAACACATTTGTAAGATTGTACTGATATATCATTTGCCTGATACCGAAGAGGTAAATAGACTTCATTACTCTGTAACTCAATTTAAGATGCCCTAAAACTGTAGCGCTAGCCGGCAGCTACAAGCCAATTTGAAGCATGCATAGCAAACAATATGACGCTATACATAAATCTCTAGGTTATAATATATATACATGTACTGTACCAACTACTGTGTCTGTGAGTAGTGTATGTCACCTAATCATATATCTCAAATCTCAATCAAGAATAAATTTACAAACAACCACATAACTTCAGCCACGACACCATACTCCATATAAATATCTTATATACACTAGATATCTATGCACGACACGCGTGTATGGATCGTTATCCAAGATATACCATACACGCGCATTATACATACATGCCCTTACTATATATACAATGGTCTACTCTCCAAACCCGGTGAAAACCCAAGAAATCCATTAACCAAATACTGCCTACAAAAGATTGCACAACGCAAAATCCCAAACTCGTGTATCTATAGACTATATAAGGTTTAAAATTACAAACTGGCAGAGGAAATACTGCTAGTGAAAGAATTTAAAGATCGTCGGTTTCTCAGTTCTCGCTCATTCAGGAATGCTCAGTTACCTCAGTACAGATTTAATTAACCCCACTGTAGAGGAAACATTTCCTGCCACGCTCGGTATTTGGACGCGGCAGAGCACATTCGCTGGTGGAGGTATATGCAGCTAGGTTAGACGATTTATACTGACATTCCGCTTTCATGGGTTTCCGTATATTTCTCTCTGGAATGCTTGGAAATTGCGCAGCCGAGATTTCGAAAATTTAATAGTAAATATATAGAAAGCACCAAAATTGCTTGCACGCCATGACGTCATATAACTGTAAAATACGACATATATATTCTCCTGTACAAAAACCCCAGTCTCACAAAATATGTCAACAGCGATCTTCGCATTTTATACCACAAATCAAATAGCACGCGCTATAATAATTGCAATACTACTGCATGACATCATGATCACCTGCATTTGCATGGCGTTTTACAAAACCCAGTACTGTACATAGTAGGTACTTATATAGCGTACCAAAATGAAAAGGTTTACGGCATATTTCACCAGATCAAGACAATTCCTAATACTATACACTGTTATTTCCGAGGTTATTTCCTATTTTATGCCATCGCGTATACACCCCACATGCAATTCGAACTAAACATACTTCACAGTTCACTACAGTGTATCACACGCCGAGACAAAGCCAAATCTAGGGGTAGTAGAGCACTCGCATTCCACTACAAATTTATTCATCGCGCATTGAAACCACTATTATCGGTCAGCTCATGATTACACAGAGCAGTTTTTGCTTTTCTCCGCCTCTCTTTTAGTCATTCTGCTACAAACGAAGGAAGGACACGAAGAAGATCTCAGGATTTGCGCCATCTTGGTTTCCCGCCTTCCATCACCTATCTGGATCACTCCTATACGTCCTAGTGGCTATGAACTCTCTACGTATATATGAACTATTTATGACATAATCTACATTTTATTACCTGAACTATATATATGTATTGTCCACTGTGCGGTGGCGTTCTGCTTTGGATTGCGACAAATTAATTCTGATCGTTTAGTTCCCTTATTTATGCTCAAAAGCGTAGTTTCATAACAAAAAAAAAAGAAAAGAAAAAGAAAACAAACCAAAAACAATAAACAAATAACGCTTAGTGGTGTCTAGCGCGATACTGACATTTCCTAATTTTGTAAAGATAAAGCTATGTGGGGAGCTGCTGGTGGTCTTGGCCCTACCCAGGTTTTCCTGTACTGCAGGTTTTTTCCTGGCCTCCCTGATTATCCAGCCGTAGCATAAGTGTTTGTATCTCGTGGACACCATATATCTTATTTGCGCAGCACGCCATCATTGCATACTATAAAACACACATCTGTACCATACTATAAATACTTCATATTAACTATTTATAATTTTTTCCCGACCAACATGCTTCACGTGGGGGATCTACACTTTGTTTCGATCAATGGCGGAAAGTGGTGTCCACACGGCCACACTTCGCCCACGGTGAAGCACACACCGGCAAAAGAGAGCAAGGTCCATAACGGCGGGGGCCCTTACCCTCGTCCTGATCTTCGCATCTCTCGGTCACTTCACCACGGGGAAGCCCGGCTCGGACATGAGATTCAATGTCCATAACGGTGAGGGCCCTTACTCTCACCCTGATGTTGTTTCTCCAGCTTTTCTGGGGGCCCTTACCACCAAGAAACCGCACTTTCCGTCACCCAATTTGGCCACAAAGGATTTGCGTGATTTATTAAATATATATATATATATATATATATATATATATATATATATATATATATATATATATATATATATATATATATATATATATATACATAGTAGCTATTCCATAACATAGTCCTTTAAATGTTCCGGAAGACGAATGGAACGACCGCCTCTGGTTCTCATCTGGTTTGGTCCCTGCGGATCAAGTGCTGATCGTGGTTTGTCTCCTGGATGAGACAATGCTGGAGTGACTGGTTTAGCTGCAAGTGGAATGTGGGTACTGTTGGTATCTCGTAATACTGGTGGTATTAGCTCCTCGTCGTCAATATCCAAGGACTCGTTCGCTTCAAATAAGGTCTGTTTCGCCTAAGGTGTGTTCCACTTTCTGTGATAAACTCATACGAGCGGACACCAACCTTTGCTGTTACCTTCGCTTTTGTCCATTCTTTATTCTTCGTTGAGGACACCTGTTGTATTTTCACCACGTCACTAATTTTTAGATCGTTGAGGCTGTGTGCTCCCCTGTCGAAGTATCTTCGTTGGTTCTCTTTCTGTTCTTCCAGTTTGGTCTGACTGTTCGACGGAATGCGGGATTCTACAAGACTGCTCGCAGTTGGTAGGAGGGTTCTTGTGTGCCGATTGAACAGTCTCTATGCTGGAGAACTACCTTCATTGGGCGTGTTTCTCCAGGCAAGGAGGGTTAGGTAAGGGTCACCTTTCGACTGAACAGCCTTGAGCATGAGATTCTTTGCAACTTTTACGGCGTGTTCTACTTTGCCATTATATTGGTGAAATCCTGGTGAGCTGGTCAAATGGGTGAACCCATAGCTCTTGGCAAATTTGCCAAATTCACTGGACTTGAATCATTGTTCTAAGTTGTTGCAGATCGTTGTTGGAAGCGGTTGCTTGTTGGATGGATTCCAGGATGCCCTGGGAGACCGATAGGGAACTGGCCATGTTGATACTCTCAGTATCCTTGGTTGTTTCACCTTGTGTGACTCAAACATGCTCCAAGAGACCAAGACCGTGTGTTGGGAAGCATCACTTTGTAACTCGAGCTGTAACTTTGGGTCGAAGTACCTTAGGACCGGAGATTGCGATAAGAGGTCTCGGACCTTAGCAAAGGACTTCCCCTGGACGTCTCTGTCCCATTGAAACAGATGATCTTCTTTGAGCATGTGCCGCATAGGAGCAGTAATTTCAATTAAATTTGAGGCAAACATTTGCAGGTAGTTGATCATACCAAGCAGGCGACGGACTTCTTGGTTGCAGGTAGGGGTAGGCATCTTCTTGATAGCCTCCACTTTAGTAGGATCAGGCTTCAATCCCTCAGCTGTCATAATGTGACCCATAAGCACAACTTCTGGTAAGCGAGCTTGAGTTTTTCTTCATTGAGCTTGACTCTCTGTTCCCTGTTCCCTGTTCCCGGCAGCGTTGAAGAAGGGTGCGCATCATGATCTTGGATGGCCTTCTCTAGCGTAGCACCCGATCCATACACCAGGATGTCACTCCAGGCAATCCCTGCAGGTCATTTTCCATTCTTCGCTGGAATTCTTCTGGGGCTGGTGAGATAACAAATGGCATGCGCGTCCAGCGATAGCGACTCCAAGGTGTGGAGAAGGCTGTAAGATAACTACTGGCCTCATCCAAGGGCACATGCCAAGAAACATTCTTGGCATCCACGACACTAAACACTTTAGCAGTCGCGAGGTCAGGGAGGAGATCATCCATTGTCGGAAGCGGGTAGAGATTCCTCTTCAATGCTTTGTTTAACGGCTTTGGATCCAAACATAGCCTGATTGTTCCATTGCGCTTGGTGGCTGCCACCATTGAAGAGACCCAGTTAGTAAGTACAGAAACAGGTTTTATGATATCCAGACCTTCGAGACGATCTAGCTCTTGTTTAATTGGGCTTTTCATTGCGAGGGGAACTTTCCTAGTTGGAATTTGCACTGAATGAACCGCTTCGTCCACTTCTAGGTGGAGTTCTTCCACAAATTTTCCTTACCCTGTGAAGACATCGTTGTACTGCGAAAGAATGTCAGCCCTTGTTAAGGTAGGTTTGGTCCACGCCTGTGGTACACTCATAGAAAGCACATTGTCAGTGTTGACCATCATGAGATCGAGTTGCTGGATGGTACAGACACCAAGCAGGGGTGTAAATTATTATTTTATTATTATTATTAACTCTTATTTAAAAACGGTAACCCTTCAACACACCTAGGTAGTTGTTTTCAAAGGGCCGTTTAAAATATTTACAAAATATTAAATTAAAAATATACATTATTTATAAAATCACAACAAAGTAATTAGGATTTGACATGCAGGAAATGTTGTCAAATAGAAAGATATTTACAGAATAACAACAAAGTAACTTAATTAACATGCAGGAAATTTATCAAATATAGAAAAATATTTACAGAAGAGAATCACGTATTATTTGCAGTCGAGAGCAGCCTTAAATTGGCCAATTGACATATTTGTTGCTTTTACATTATTTGACAAATTGTTCCACGCTATTGCTCCATTATAACTAGCACTTTTTTTCATGCAATTTGTTTCTGGTTTTTGTAAAAGAAAATCATTACCTTTGCTGCGTAAATTGTGTTTTGATTATTAGCGATTTCGAACAATTGGTTCATACCTTCTGGTAGCTCACTATTATTCACTTTATACATAAACACTAGCTACTTTTTCTCTCATCGATCGGCTAAAGGTTGCCAATTTAATTCCTTAAATATTTCTTTTGTTGATATTTCATATGGTCTGCCTGATTCCACAATCAAATATTCCAACTCGTAACTTTCTTCACTGAGTTGGTTCTTTGGTTTCAGGGTGGCAATGCATAGTTTTCCGACCGCTGTCATCACTGACTTGTTAAACATAATCAGCTGTGTGTTACATTTTTCCAGTAGTTTGTGTTGAGGGTCCTCAAAGATCAGTTGGTAAATATCCTCCGGAATTATGTTCACCGTTGCTCCGCAGTCCAACTGATATTTCACAGGAGTCTTATTAACGATAAGTGTTTCGAAGATCTTACTTGGGTATTTCTTGCTATTTGATTGCACTGCTGCCACAGTTTCTGGAGAAGTAACTGTCAGTAAATAGTTATCATCGGCATCGCTCTCACTCGTCTCGGACTTTCGAACTGTTCGCACTTGTTGTTTGGATTGTCTAGATTGTCAGCAAACAGCAGCAAAATGATTCCTTCCCTCACAGGACATCCAGGTCTTACCCCATGCTCGACACTTGCTTGCCACATAACTTGCACTGAAGCCGAGGCTCTCGTCGACCAGTAGTGGCTCTCCCACCCTTGTTCTGATCCTTCTGCTTCATGTCACACGTGACCGAGCATAATTGAGCACCTCATTCTGCTGCATTTACTTTAATTTCTTCTCAGTTGACTCACCTGCACGACAGATGTCTATACATGACTTGAGAGTGAGTTTGCTGTCCTGCAAAAGTCTTTTCCTCACACTGTTGTTGCGAATTCCTATAACCAATCGATCACGAATGAGTCTATCTTTAAGTTCACCATAGTTACACGTTTTGGCAAGGGATCTCAGACAGGCGACATCATCTATTGATTCTTAAAGGCGACATCTATTGATTCTTAATAGATTCGTCCACTTCTCGATCACGCCTGTTAAATTTGTATCGTTCATACGTCTCATTGGAATCCTCAATACAAAACGCTTCCAATTTTTGAAGAACGAGAGCGATTTTCGTCCTGTCCGTGTCGTTGTCAAAATTCAGGCCATCAAACACCTCCAGGCCAGTCGGGGCCAATGCAAGTGAGCAGGGTAGCCGTACGAGTCGAGTCTTCGTTTCGCAGTCTTGCTGCGATCTCATAGTTCTGCCAAACTCTCCATTCATATCGAGGGGTGGAGGGAGAGGAATATTCGCAGGAATAATTCTAGCAGTTACAGCAGGTTGCAATTGCGGGGTCAAATACTCGTCATCAGACATTATGAACACAACAATACGATACTGTATTTACTTCCAACACAGACGGCAATCGACACTGTTAAATCACGATTAAATTCGATCGCACTAATCACTACGCGTGCCTAAATATCACTAACCAGATTCACTGATGCTTACCCGAACGTGTGATTTACTCCTAGCACCATGTAAAGAGTTAGTTTTTCTTTAATTTGCACAAAGGTTAATTTAATATAAAAATTAAGGCGTACAAAACATTTAGGCGCCATCTTGAAAACAAGTTGCATGACACATGTTAGCTTACCCAGGGGAGGGGGGGGGGGGACATATTACAAAAGCGCTTGACGTCACAGAACCAGTTCCGAAAACTCAGTTCCGAAAACTCAGTTCCGAAATATCACCAACTCGAACCGACTTGACCTCGTAGCTCAGTTGGCCGAACATTTTACTAGTATCCCAAAGGTCGCTGGTTCGATTCCTACCGTGGTCAGGCAAACTTTTCAGCTACAATCCTGGACAAAACGTTGTGGACAACCCACAGAATTTGGCCTCGAATGGTGTTTTTTCTAAATAATTATCCCCCCGCTCCCCCAAGCCAATGTTGAATGGGATTTTTCATCAAATACCAAGTGTGGTTAAGTTGGATATGCAACATTGAAGATGGGGAGTGAGTGATGTGCAAGTAAATTCAAGTTTTAGGTGTTTGTTATGATTTTTGCAAAAGTGGATTAAGTGTCCACATGAGTTTTGGCCTGGATTGTAGCTTGCCCGGTGTGGATACACACTCAGAGTAACATAACAAACATCATAGTACAAAGGTACTTGGAAGTATAACGCATAAAAATTGAGGAGAAAGTACTAGTGTGCCCGCTAGTGTACGTGGACAGTTGAAAACGATCCGAAAACGCTGGTAGCGAAGAGTTAGTATACGCGTTTTCGAAATATCAGAAACGATTGGTGTAGACGGAGGCTCAGATTTTTCATTTAATTTTTGTTTTGCCCAGCTTTAACGATTACGCCGATTACGATTAACATTTCTGTAGCGCAAATACATGTATAGATGTGATCAAATGCAGTGTTTCATACTTAGCCTAGCTATGTTATTTTCCCAACAATTGTGATATTACTTATTTAACTGTATTTATCCTAAACCACCCTGTCAACGTTCCCGTGCCGGAGAAAACCCACAAGCGTTGACTGTCGACTCTTCTTACACGAGTCCGTAGCGCGAGAATCGAACCCACGAACTCAGAGGTGAAAGCCGCTTGCTCTGACGATTATCCATCACATTATTTATTTATCTTTAACTCATAGATTTCGTGTTGATTGTTAACATTATAAAACGGCCGAATCCACAAAATTGGACAATGGTATAAAAATGTGTAAATTTTAGAATTCCAAATTGACGATCAATTTTTGCACATGGTTTTGCATGCGTCCACCAGAAAGTCAGAATTTCTATTAGTTTCTTTTCAGTGATAATTTTCAGTTGCATGATATTACACACACTTAAGGTCAGATTTTACTCTAGAACAGGCAGTTGATAGTAATATATAAGCTAACCCGATTTTTAATAATGATAAATTTGAAGATAAAATATCCCCAAGGCTCATGATCATTTTACTCTCAACTCACTTTTTGCCTCTACTGAACTCACTTTGCCTTCCTTGATTTTGCAAGTAATACCGTAATGCTTATTCTTTATTGCCAATTGGCTGTATAAATCGACACATCTGTGATGCTACATAAATTTAAAGATTCAATCCAATTAATCTGATATGTTCACATTTTTGACAGATTATTTTAGATGCATAAATCATGTTTTTGAAAAGTTAGCTGAAACGCCCTACAATCCGTGCATCACGAGTCATGATCCACTCATCCACGCATCATTATGCTGAAAAATCGCCGATTATTTATGACATGCATGAGATTACAGGCCTAGGAAAATTTTTTGCGAACTATATAATGACAATATATTTCATCCCATGCATTTTCCATTTTATCGATACGACATCTTTTTAATGAAATATCTAATTGATTTATTCTAGCACTTCATGTACATCATTAACTTGCCGACAAAACGTTCCGACAAAGAATTCAATTCCATGCATGTGTAGATGTTGTTTTGAAGTGATAATTTCTAGATAATATTGATTTTTAAAATTAGACAGCATTGTACATGTTTGATTTTAATCTAACAATACAAATACTCCGTTAAAACTCTAAAATATACGAGAAGTTTCCACAGGTTATAAAATTAAGATGAGTATATATAATGACGAAATGTACGTAATATCAAATATTCACGGCAAGTTTTCAGATTCATTTTTCAGTTCCGTTTTCCCCAGACTCCACACCGTATCTGCATGGAGGAGCGACACAATGAGAAAACATTTTTCAATCAAAATGTTTACTCATGCACTGAATGGTTTATAACCGCGCAAAAGATTATAACAAAATAGTGTTAATTTAAACTGCATGCATGCATGTAATATGTATGCATCTTTGATTTGTTATGCATGTGAACGCATGCAGTGGGAAATATTTCTATTTTTTGTAAAATTTTGTAAATTTTTTGTAGATCTTGCTAACAACCATCATCTGTATCTTTGATTTACATATACAGTACTTGCTTATTGACCGGTTCGAAAACTAGCCGCCACAATTAAGTAACTTTGCATTATTGTAAATTTTATCTAATAAACATTTTTAGCAGATTTTTTATTTAAAGCTTAGTGTATAAGTTAAACAATCAGGCAAGCAAAATTATAGCTCTTTAATTGAAATGCGCAAGAATGCGCCAAAATTAAGCTAGTCAGTCTTCTTTGCTAAATCTATAGTACATGAAAACTCCGGTATTTTTAAGATATAATTCCTCCAAGAGAATACATGATATTATATCTATATTTTGTGAAACCTTTACGCCTGTATTCTAAAAGATCACTCACACTCACTCAATGAGTGGAGGTTCAATCTGACTATCTGAATTTCTCTGAGTGTCAATGCTGTTTTTGAATAGCTGTAGGGTGAGTAGTCATGATTGCGCATAGTACGGTACGGCACTAAGGCTAAGCCTTCAGCTATTCAAAAACAGCAAGGGACATTCAAGGGAAGTTCAGATTGAACCTCCACTCATTGAGTGTGTGAGTAAGCTTTTTGGATATATACAGGCATTATATAGTCTTCAAGTATTCTATAAATCGGTAGTAATTATACCTATCACCTATGACAACCAATTTTCGAATCCGGTCTATAATTTCAGTGAATTCTTAATGTGGGCCGTGTTTTAATCTTAAATTCGAAGGCGTACTCTATATATACCTTTCATGGACTCTTGAAACAACTTCCTAGCTATTGGATTCCAATTCGAGTCAAAACATTCATTCCTTCTTAGTAGGAGGTGATTAAGAAACGGGCGTCATTTTATTTGGAATTATTGGACTGCTGTGTTTCTTACTGTTATCCTCTACATCTCGGCATTGTATCATATAATGTAATAGGTTGCGGTTGACATTTTAAAATATAGTCAAAACAAAATTATTGATTTGACTGTAAAGCCAACAGAAAGTGCGCATGCAAAAACAATAATGACAAAGAAAACATTTCGATGACGCGCTTTTGTGAAGTACAAATTTCGACTTTGTGAATTGTGGTCTAATACAACAACTTTATATACTAGACATTAAAGCTTAAGAAACATATATGTGCTAAGACATTTCAGGCCGCGGGCTGTTTGCTCGGCTGCCTGAAAAATTGATTACATCGCAGTAACTTGTTGTTGTAATTTTTCAATCCTTGTATTTTTTGTTCTTATCACCTCATATTTTAATTTGTATGTAACTACTAAGTTCAAAACTACTTTCCCACACTACCAAAGATTCAGAATCTGCACCATAAAGAGCAGATGAAATCTTTCTTTTTTATTTATAGAATAATCTTGTTATTTTCATATCCTGAGCAAATTGTCAGCTGTCCATAAATTTATTACATTGGACACTAGCTTAGGGAAATTCATTTCACAATTGTACAAAATATTGATGGTTTTATACTCCCTTTGTAACAAAAAATATATGTTAACGTCTTATGTCATGATCTTTCATGAACATGCACGTTTCGTTTTTATCATGCTTTAAGCAACTTATAAACTACGGTTGGCTTAATTTCTTTGTTGCGTTTATTTTGTTATCTTTTTACAAATGTTTTGTCCTTCCACATATTCACACAGGTGTAAATTAAGAAATAATGACCCCCCATGACAGGATGATGCGAATATTAACTGCCTACGTCTCAGCATGATATGCTTATAGCTTTATAAATGGTCATGTCATTTTGCAAAAGAAGTAGACTTCCATCGTCCTGTTGGAACATTATCTTTGGCAAGCACTAGACGTGGAACATACTTTAAAAAGGTAACTATCTATTATTTAGTAAATAGAGATGAAGTCCTGCGGGAATCTGGATCAAGATGCCTTTAGAAAAATCACAAAAAAATCACACGACAAAAATTTTAAAAATCACAAAAATAGAAATATCACAAAAAAACCATATGGTTTTATGATCTCGTACACTTTTGGAGTGATTTGTCCCTCGCTCTGGATAACTGTCATGATATTGGTAGTAATACAGCTAGGAGGCACGGATGCAAAGAAGAAAAGTTTAGTTTTAGTTTATCGAATTTCTTTAATTAAAAAAATGTTATACTTATATATAACATACACAATCAGACAAATTGTTTGTATAGGGTTAAGGGAGGAAGAGTGATTCTCATTTTCCCAGCCAAAATTTTGTCAGAATCCCAGTCATCCGACCGCGCAGTGATTTGCTAAATCGCATTCCCAGCATGCAATATTACTGGTGCAAATCAATTCCCAGCTGTCTAAATCCCATTTGTGCAGTGAAAAAATTCCCAACACTAATTTTACCCATTCACCACCCTCACCAAATAGCATATAAGAGCGACAAACAGAGGGGGGACAAGGTACGTGACAGAAGGGACTTTTGAGTAATATCACAACTGATTAATTATTCCCCACAAAGGCAGATTTGTGGAATAATTACAAAGGATGCAAGATAAGACATATGTTAGGAAACTGTGTGGAACACTGAGTATCGATTCGAATTTTTAGTTTAGGTAGACCCTCTTTCATAAAATATAATTTTTTGTCGTATGCGGAATATCATATCCGAAGCAAAAGTCAAAAGTCAATACATGACATATATTCCTTTAAATAAAGATATCATATCGTCCTTGCATTTTGCAGTCATAATCAGTGTTGCCTGACATTCGTCGAAGTCGAAATTGCATTGAACTGTATATATTTGATAAAAACATTTGTAGCTGGCATCTACTCGTGAAGTTAAGTTTGTATTCCAGTTAATATATAGACAGACGGCTGTGATCCTAACATGCCTTTTTTATCGTAAGTCAAGATAAATAAATTTATTATACTGTCTTAATAGGCCCAAGGACATCCTTGCGTGTACGTACTGATACGCAATTAATTCTTAATTAATTACTTAGAAAAAAGATTAAATGAATGTTTGCAGTCATTGACGGGCTAACTTAAGCATACATGTTTGTAAAATCTCCGATAAGTTGAAAGAATTTGATATCGTTCAGCAATTGTTGGGACGAGCAAAAATTATGAAAAGGGAGGAAAACTTGGTGTGACTGATTCGCTATAAAAATTTTGTGCACATGCATTAGATATTCAAGCATGGTAATTATTGATACATTTTACTTATATTGAATTGTGTTGGAAGTGCGGAGAATGTTCAGCCAAACACAATATAATGAACCAACCAATGAACATCCAAAATAGTTAACTATTTGATTAAAATGCAGGTTGGACCTTGCTAGATTCTTTCACAAAATTATTTATATTTCGAAACACTTTGCTTCCGCAGATGTACTGTATGATTAAATTGTTCATCTGTGGTTTGTGAACTATCCATACAACATTTAATTATATTTCACATTTTTAAGTGCAAGCCAATTGTTTTCCAGCCTATTGCGGTGCTGCTATTACATAAGACTTATAATGGTCTCTCTTTTCTTCCATCGTGATTGCCATTCAAGTACGCATAAATTACAGACAATTAATGGGCCTTGGCGACATCGTAAAAGTTGTAGCCGCTCAAGCCTGAGAATCAGGCCAAGTTTTCTTTTCAAGTCTTTCTTCATTTCCTCTTCCAATAAACATGCGGTGGATGCGTGGATTTGAACAGTTATGCCGGTCCATGCGCAAATGATCAGGAAATGAAGCTACTAGAGGATTTTATAGTGCAAGCATGCTAGACAATTCGAAGCCCACAAAGCCGGAGTTTTTTGAATTCAAATTGCGTTAGCAGGATGCTTAAGAATGATCTAGCTTCTCAACTAAGCGTGACAAAGCTAGGGGCACTTATTGCCTGAGTGGATATTAAATCATGCATGATGCAAAATAAAAAGGGTTGGTGCAAAGACACAAATGATTTTCCGACGGACATCATACCAGTTTATACAGTCAATTTAAGACAGCCTCAGTTTGAGACATACATGCATTCCACTGATTCAAATTAAATTGAAACTTAATGGTAAGTTGACCAGTTAAATTTCATATTTTATACCGACTCATTAGATATATTTGAATATTCGCTGGACAGCATTTGTTCTTCACTAGCTTAATCTCCACGATCCGCCCGGGTGTCAATTTCTGTGGTGGGCAGTTTTCTTATCATAATTTCACCTTTACCAATAATGTCACTGCCATTTCTCCGCGAATAAAATATAATCATAGCTGTTACTGGAACTCTAGGAAGACTGACAATTTAGACACGCAGAACTGCAGATTCAGCTGGTAGGGCTACTATATCGATATAAAGTTATTTGGTAATGATATCTCAAAATATTGTGGATGAACATGTCAGAGCGTTATATATGCGAGCGTGACATCGACAATATGTTCTCCGTCGATGATTATTTTGAGCAATTTTACAACGAAAAAGACCAGTTTTATGGTTTGTAGGCTACACTCATATAATTTTTTGTAAGTGTGATGTTCGAATGTGTTTTCTGAAATAAAATGCTCCGATAAATGAACTATCAATAAAAGAAAGATAAGTCATTAGTTGTTTCGTTTTTTCTAGATTCATCACATGGAAGTAACAATGAAGATTTTCTTTTGCCTTGCTTTGATCATTGTTTCCGTGTGTGGTGAACGTGCAAGACGTCAGTCATGGAGAGATGGTTTGTGGGGCAGGGAACTCGAATTGGAGAACGCGAGGAGAAAGGATATGGCAGCTGTCTCCAATCTCTTCAAAGACGAACAGTCAAATACTCACTACAAGAGTGTACCCGCTAGCGAGACAAGGCAGGATGATCGGCTTAATCTTAGAAATGAAGTTCAGGATCCCCAGATGCCGCCATTTCCGCAAGTTATTGGACAAGAACGAAGCAAGTTTGAATTTTTACGTTACCCAAAACAAAGACAAGAATCTCAACAAGAATAAGAGAACTTAAAATTGAGGACAAAAACGCTAATGTATATTTTAAAATAGAACTAAACAGTATATATTAGTAAATCACGTAAATTATTAAGTAAAACATCGATAGGAATATTGAGCAAGCACACGGCATGTCTATGACTATATACAGGCAAAATAAAATAATGTAAAATGTTATGAAATTCAAAAATAAAACCTTCAAGAAAATCGACGTATGTTGTTGCTGGTAGATTCGATTTAAAACTATGTTATTGCCAATCGAGTGACGATTTGAAACAAGACGGTATGTCTGACCGAGAAGAAATGAAATGGAGGCTATATTATTACAATCAGTTTCATTGTATCATTCCTTCACCGTCACATGCATGTGTATTGGTTTTTTTTTCCAAATCCACCAATAACAATTTCCAATTTTCCCTATTGTTCGAGTCACGAATAGGTAACTTCCTATCCGTGAAGGACCAGATTTATAAATAAACGTTGACAAACATAGATAATGAGCTATATTGTTGTGCTAACGCCGTAACGAATTTCCTAACCATCTATTCTATTAACTATGATTGTATAGACCCGCGGTTATATCGATAAATAAAAAAAAAATTCAAAGTTAGTGCAATTAAACAACGTTTTCGTTTCCACTTCTAAGTGTAGTCTGCATTTAAAAATTTAAACCATTAAATGAAAAAACCCCGCTTTTTTTAACATTTTTTCAGTCATGCGGAATTCTAGAATTATGTAACGCGCAGAGGATTGAAACCTGAAAACTAAATATGCCATGACAGCCATTTAAACAACCATGCAATTTGACTACAAAATTTACAGGAACGACTGATATTTACAAAACAACGGTAACTCCGAAAATAAAAATGTTGATATGCTCTAGGTTCTGACTATGTTATCCAGTATTACGTGTGTATAAGCCCCCCCCCCTGCACCCACCCTTTGTTGGGAGCTAAGAGGGGCTGAGCCTCCTTGTTAAAAATTTAATGTCGATTAGGGGGCTGACCTCGCAATATTTTTGCAGATTACATAATCATAACCTGCAGGAAAGTTTTTTGCAACTGTATGGTTAAAATCATGATGTGGAAACGATCATAACTTGAAACGGACTATGATGCTATCATCTCAAACTCATTAATAATTCATGAGTAAAATTTAGCCAACCATATTGCTTTATTTTGCTGACAGATAATATTGGATACCTGGTATCTTAGGACTGGATCAATATATTTCAACTCCGTTGAATGATTTATTCGTATGAGATGTCATTTCGAGTAGATTTCAAGTCCTCGTATTTTGACCCAGTCCTCGGCTTCGTCTCAGACCTGCCTCCTCCGCAGGCCCTCGTTGTGTCATGGGAAGGTTACGATTTCGAGAGGGCCTGCGGAATCTTGTAAAATGAATAAATGTTGTTTTGAACCTGCTTCGTTAAAGAAGGCAGTTTTATTCGTGCAACGTTGGTGTGGACAACAAACCTTATCGTTAAAAAATGCTTCCTTCCACGTCCTAAGAGTCGCCAGTTTAATTTACAAGTTTCACGCCGCTTTTTTATATCCTGTTTATATTCAAGATATGTAGAAATTTACTTGCTGACGTGACGCCGGCGCCATTTTTTTTACAAGATTCCGCAGGCCCTCGCCAGATCGTGACCTTCCCATGACGCAACGAGGGCCTGCGGAGGAGGCAGGTCTCAGACTTGATCAAACTGCGCGGACTTGAAATCTAGCCCAGTCCTCATTGTCGCGGATTTGAAATACTACATTACATCGTTTATGTGGCGCCAACATGCAGGGCATTTTTAATACCGTAGCGTGGTGGGGCATATTTGCACGAAAATATTTGCACAGCAGGACTAAATCGTCGGACTGGCTACGCTACTGTTCGGTCATCCAAATTTCTGAATTTTAACCAAGCTAGCCAGCTAGAAGAGGAGTAGTTGGGGTGGTAGTGGTTGCAGTCTTGCAGATCTTCTGTAATATGAATGCTGTTAAAAGCAGGAGGATGCAGAAGACGTTCCGTTCCACTGATGAAGTTATGAAGTCAGCATGCTTGTTATGTATTCTGTTAACGTTAAATTACAGTGACTGCTGCAGATCAAAAAGACTCTAAAACAAATATGAAAACAATCATGTTTTATTTTGCTTAAAAACAACACGGTGTCTGTCTCATATTATATGTAACAATCCTATTATTTCCTTTCTAGATGTTCACTGCATGGATGATGTATTTTCAACAGTGGCGTAGCAAACTCGATAATTGGGGGGGGGGGCAGTATTCATATATTCGTGTTTTGCATCATTAATTTCTTTTGAAATCAATTGTTTTTAAGGTCTGTGAACGCGAATATATGCATGAATATTGCCGCCCCCCCCCCCAATTATCGAGTTGGCTACGCCACTGATTTTCAACATTCGTCTTGTCAAAGAAACAAATTACTTTTGCATGATATTATCATTATTTATTAATAATTTATTTCTCCAAAATTATGGCTTTTTCAGAAATAATTACAATCATAAAATGAAGATTAATTACGTATTTACATGAGTTTATTAGAAGACTTATATATATACTAATATATCAAAATATACAACTGTTTATAGATATAATAAACCAATTATTGCTAAAATAAAAATATAAAATTATTATTTTGAGTTGTTCTAGCACTCTGCATGCAGTATCGTTCCAGTGGCGTAGCCAGGGTTTACGTGGGGGTGGGGGGTGGGGGCAAGTTGAGCGCCGAAGGCGCAAAAACACTGTATGGGGTCCGGGGGCATGCTACCCGGGGAAATTTTGAAATTCAGAGCCTCTGAAACGCCATTACGAAATGGCGTTTCATTGGGGTGAGATTTTACAAAATTCAGAAGTTTATAACATCATAATTCGGTCAAGAATGCCTGCGTCTTCATGTTATTAGATTGCGAATAATAAGCTGGACATGAAATCGGATCAGTGTTACCCCTCCCAGTTTCTCAACGGATTTAAACATATCTCGAAGGTGGTTCTGGAGGAGAGTTTGGGGGACTCGTCTCCCAGTCCCCCCCCCGGGCCTACGCCACTGTATCGTTCTTATACTAGTTTTTTAAAATCTCCAATACTTGAACTATCTTTAATGTTAGTGTCTAAATCATTCCATAAAAAAACCCTCTGGGCCAGGGTATTGAAAAGGAGAATTACTCTTGCAATCTTCCACTCATGTGGAAAAATACATAGGGTAATTGCTTGATTAAAAATGTAAGTCAATCAATCAATCAGAAATCAGTGGTGCTGCAATATTAATTATCTTCCTTGATATTTTATCTAGCCATCTAGAACAATAGCTTTGCTACCAGATAGTTCACGTAGTAAAAGACAAACATGGTTTACAGAAACTGATTTGAATGCAGTAAATTCAGAATTACTTTTGTCAAGGTAGCCTTTAAAATGGCATTCTGTTGAACCAATTTTTTCATCTAAATTTGGTCCAGTATTTGAAAAGAAGGTATTGAAGCCCTCAGCAATATCATTGGGGCTATTCAATTTCATATCATTTACGTTTAATTCATTTACTTTAGTTGGTTGATTATGTTTACCAAGCAAAGTATTAATTGTCTTCCAAGCAGCTTTGGGATTTTGCTTTTCTGTAGATATTTTTTTGGAGTAATAATCTCTTTTGGCCTGTCTTAGTAGAGTGTTGGTTTCATTTCTGGCTTTTTTATAGTTTTCCCAATCTGTTTCAAGTTTGGTAATGATTGCTTTTCTTTTCAAGTTGTCTCTTGCAGTCATCAAATGTCTTATATATCACTACTAATCCAAGGAGATCGTTTAGATTTTATTTTCTTACTTTGAAGTGGATGTTTATGGAAGCATGTGTATCTAGGACTTGTAAGAAAAGGTCCTTCCAAATTTCCCAAATAGTGCTTAGGATTGTCTGCAAAAAAGTAGACATGCTCCCAAGATTGAGTTCCTAAGTCATGCAAACATTTTTCTTCACTGAATTTTTTCATGTTTCTAATTTCAATAATATTTCCATTTACTTTATGGCTTACATTAATTTTTCTTATGCCATAAATAAGACTGTGATCACTGATCCCGGTGTGAATTACACCATGTTTGGACATTTTCTCTGGTTCATTGGTAATAAAATGGTCAATAAGAGCAGAGGAAGATATAGTTATCCTTGTTGCTTCATCTATTAATTGGGATTGATAAATTTCAAATAAGGACAGAGGTAATATAGATACCGTTCGACCCTTATTTTTGTGGCGGTCAGGGGCGTAGTAAGCTTCTAAAAGTTGGGGTGGCAGGCTTTGAGGGGCACTTTTCGACGGAATAAAAAAGGGCATCTAAAAATGTTTTCCCGGAAATGTTGGCGACGGGGGGTGTGGGGTAGGAGGTCATCTCATATTTTTCTTAAATATGACAAAATGTTTCCCGATATACCAAACAATTTTCCAGGTATATGATATTTTTCCAGGAAATGAAAAAAATTTTCCGGAAATAACATAAATTCAAGTTTTCAAAAGTGCCCTTTGGGCAAAAAAATGTAATCTTAATGACATTATTTACGAAAGAAAAGGGCACTTTGCTCCCGGAAAAAGGGCACTTGGCAAAACTTGGGGGAGGGGCCTGGCCCCCCCTGCCCCCCTGTTCTTACGCCCCTGGTGGTGGTGGCGTGTAGTGGTGGCGCATCATCATTAGCATAGAATGCATGAGGTGGCGCATTATCATTAACATACCTCCACATTAATTAACATACCTGGAATATGGTGGAATGTGGTGGAGGGTAACTAATATACCTCCACATTAATTAACATAACTCCACATTAATATACGTCCACATTAATATACCTCCACATTAATTAACATACCTCCACATTAACTAACATAACTCTACATTAATTAATATACCTCCACATTAGTTAGCATACCTCCACATTAATTAACATACCTCCACATTAATTAATATATCTCCACATTAATTAATATATCTCCACATTAATATACCTCCACATTAATATACCTCCACATTAGTATATCTCCACATTAATATACCTCCACATGATATTTTCTGTGTTGGTGTAATGTACTCAGGTGAATAAGATGCTTGTGATGTTACTCTGAGTGTATATCCACAACGGGCAGGCTTGAAAAATATGCCTGGCCACGGTGGGAATCGAACCTACGACCTTTGGAGTACCAGCCCAGAGTCGGAGGTTCGATTCCAACCGTGGCCAGGCATATTTTTCAAGCCTGCCCGATGTGGATATACACTCAGAGTCACATCGCAAGCATACCTCCAAATTATGCAGGGGGGCGCATCATTAAAAATTCAGGTCGCTGTTAATGTTGTTGTTATGCGTTGCTGCTAGGTACAGAAACCACAGCAAATAATATAAAGTTTCACAAAGATATAGCACACTGCTTGTATTACTTTAAACGAAATAAAAACCATGGTTTTACAAGTATTTTTTCAAAGTAAAGTTTTAAATATATAGATTTTATTGAGAGAAACACAAATATTCTAATGGCAGCGTTGTCAGGTAATCCCCACGCGCAGTTCATTTGTAATAAATCATAATAAATAATAATAATATAACACAAAGGTTGAAGTAATTAAGGGGATTAAGCCAATATGAATTTGCATAACCAATAGGATAATAATGGATATAAATGGATATTATTTCGGGTAGTCGTGGGCATGTTTAGGCGAACAGTCAATATTTTCTCTGAGCTCAGCAATTTTTCGCGTCCCACGTAATCAAATGACAATTAGCCATTCCGAAGTTGATGAGAGGACTGGGACGAGTGTTAAAAAGTGCCCAAATTAAGAAGCGAACCAAATCACTAAAAAGACCGCCTCAAAATTAGTAAGTATACAAAGTTTGAAGACATTTACATGAATACCCTTCGAATAATAAGTTTTCGAAAATCGCGAAATTTACTGTGAAATGTACTGTAATTTTTGTTTTTTGGGACGCACGTCTCAAAAACAATCTTTTAATCAGTAATTTCACAATTTTTGAAAGCTTATTATTCGAAGGGTATTCACGTAAACGTCTTCAAACTTTGTATACTTACTAATTTTGAGGTGGTCTTTTTAGTGATTTGGTTCATTTCTTAATTTGGGCACTTTTTAACATTCATCCCCAGTCCACTCATCAACTTCCGAATGGCTAATAGCTAAGCGTCCGTATACATTTCGGGAGCGTTTAATATTCGAAGCACAGTCTTTAGCTGACAACGCTTAGTTCTGCATCAGTCATGGAGTGTCTATACACGGTAAAGCTGATGCTTTTCGACTACGAAAAATGGTACATTTTGGTTCCGTGGGGGAAAAACGTTTAGAACAGTCGTACTTGTAATATATTTTGCCCTAAAAAATACATATGTTTTTTTATCAAATATGCGGTCGTTATATACGTTGCTATGTGTTGCCAGTCATTAATTAGCGACGCTTGGGTGCATGCATATATTAATGTACAACATATTTGTACACTAATCAGGCGGGCGGGTTAGGCAAATCGCGCAGGCGGGAAAGAGCAATTTTAAACAGAATTAAACAGTTGCATGATATCGATATCCTAAGATTTCTATGATATCCTAAGATACTGTAAGATACTCATGACTATAGTCTTAATAGTCATGACTATAGTCTTAATAGTCTTGACTATAGTCTTATTAATCATGACTGTAGTCTTAATAGTCATGACTATAGTCTTAATAATCATAACTATAGTCCTAATAGTCATGACTATAGTCTTAATAGTCATGACTATAGTCTTAATAATCATGACTATAGTCTTAATAGTCATGACTATAGTCTTAATAGTCATGACTATAGTCTTAATAGTCTTGACTATAGTCTTAATAATCATGACTATAGTCTTAATAGTCTTGACTATAGTCTTAATAGTCATGACTATAGTCTTAATAGTCATGATTATAGTCTTAATAGTCATGACTATAGCCTTAATAGTCTTGACTATAGTCTTAATAGTCATGACTATGTCTTAATAGTCATGAGTATAGTCTTAATGGTTAAAAAGCTGGATGAAAAGTTTTAATTTCAATTCAATATCTATTCAACAAGACAATACAGCAGGTAAAAACTAAGTAAAATTATACTACAAATTTAAGGGTTATCCCGGTTAGCGAGAAAATATTTCGACAAGTTCACACAAGCGATCGAGATCTCGGCTGTTATGAGAATAATATGAAAAGTTACACTGCGTTCACATGAGACGAAAAGTTTTCCCGTGTACCGAGATCTCGCTTGTTGACAGGCGAGATCTCGGTGACCGGGATAATGTTTTTCCCATATGAACACAACATGGCCACAAACTTTCCCGCTTAGCGGGAAAACTTTCTGTCGTGTCAGTAACTTTTCTGTTTTTAAAATGTATTTAAAAAACTTTAAACTTTTCCCGCCTTGCGCGTCACACCAGTGCTACGTCACAGCCGGAAACTTTACCCGGTAAGCGGGATAACGTTTCTTCATATGAACAGAATAAAATTATTTGGCTAATCGAAATGCTTTCACGCTAACCGGGATAACTTTTCCCCATATGAACGAACAGGCCCTTAGTCGACGAAAACATTTCGCTCATTTTAAAATTTATAAAAAATATTTGACCGAACTAAGCCCAGGGAAGCCCACTAGCCCCTTCATTAACTGCCGTTTAAGGTATTTTTAAAATTTTTATGTTTAAGGACAAGTTGTATGTTATAGTATTTATATTTAAACATATATTTTTTTCGAAGAATAGCTGAATATATGTTGAGCATTTGAATCGAAACATATGTTTATATTTGTTTTTCGCATTTTAGTCGGTGAAAAGTGCATTTCGGGCTTGGCACTAAATCCATTGAAGTCAATTCATTATCTTACTATCCTTAGGGTCATTCATTATTTATGACCGGGGGTAGGCTGGCAAAACAGGAGGTGGGTCATGAGTTATGTTTGACCGAAAAAGGGGATCACCTAAATTATTGCTACCGCATGGAGCGAGCAAGGCAGCAAATTTAATTTATGTAGCTGGCAAAATTCTCAATTTTAATCAACAGATAGACCCAGAATGCAATGTGCAAGTACCCAAAATGCAATTAATGCGCACAGCTAATATGAAAAACAATCGAACATCTACCTTATAACATTTACCATGAACTTGCCCTAAATTTTTGTCATGTTTCCTTGATGTACATTTTAATAGAAAAGACAGTCACGATAACGAGTAAGCAATGTAGCAACATTAACGCCCGTATTCTAAAAGCTCACTCACACTCACACTCAATGAGTGGAGGTTCAGTATGAGCTTCTCTTGAGTGTCGGTGCTGTTTTTGAATAGCTGGAGGGTTAGTGTCGTACCTTACTATGTGACCACTCACCCTCCAGTTATTCAAAAACAGCACTGACACTCAAGAAAAGTTCAGATTGAACCTCCACTCATTGAGTGTGAGTGTGAGTGAGCTTTTACAATACGGGCGTACGTCCAGAGCGAGTTTTGGCGTGTACTAACATGGTCTAATTTAGTAAGTACATAATGTGTGCTATACTACTTTGTAGTGTAGAAAATGTACTGAAACTAGATACTAAGTTTTATTATATATAAGTCAGAATATATTTTTTTATCAAAATTCTTCTGATCAGTCTAAAGTTTGGATTAGTGGAGTTTGTTCTGATTAAATAGGCATATTGTTGAAAACACAAGTATAAATGTAGATCTGATGCCTGGTCATCGGTGATGGCGGGGGTTACTAATTTTTTAGAATGAAGGGGGTCATTGAATTTTTTGTGATGCAAGGGGGTAGGACGTTTTGTTCAGTTGTTAATTGAATTTTGCCAGCCCACCTCCAGTCGTAAATAATGAATGGTCCCTTAGTATCGATAGGGAGAATTTTTCAAGCTTTTGGGAAGTTTTTTCCAGTTTGCAAATTGTCTGTACTCCTCGGTTTGTATGTCGTTAAAAATAACTCTTTTGGACCACGTACGGTCAAGATACATGCTCCTGCAGCCAATCAAATTGCATGAAATAAAAAATATCACTAGTCTAATAAGACATGCATAAATAAAAAAATAAGAACGTTTATTTATTTATTTATTTATTTATTTATTTATTTATTTATCGTGATATCGAGACAAGATACGCTGTTCAATGCGCTGTAGTGAGCATCAAATATTATGTGCGCTGTACTGCGCGCATCAAATCTTATACTCAATGCGCTGTACTGAGAATCAACCTCGTACCCAGAGCTTTTGGCTTCCGCGGTTTGAGTGGTCAGCGAAAAAAGCCCAGGCTTCAGCTAGTCACGTGACACCCTGAATTTTAGGGTGTTTAGTATGATAATTTATCTGAAATGCTTAGTAAAAATTATTATTTTAAATTTTGTATATATTACCTAGAATGAGCTAAAATACAGTAACATATGCCTGATAGCTTGTACAACCGAACCACTTTGCAGCGTTTGCTTTGTATAAATCATGTTATGAGCAAATATATTCGTATCTGAATCTTTATTTGTCATTATAACACTGCACCTGTCTTCAAATCAACGATTTATAAACAATGCATGTGAGAAATCTATGTTCAACCGAAGCAAATATCGTCTATAAATTAGGCCTTATTTCGACCAAATATAGTTTGTGATGTTTATCGTATCGGAGGCGAAAATGTCAACACTCTTATTTAGTAATACTCACTATTTTAGTTATTCTTAAACATAAAATGTCAATGCATGCACTCTCAAAAATAATTTCTACCAAAATAATAGTTATCATACATTAAAACGTTTAATCATTGACCAATCAGGTTGCAGAACAGACCAGCTATAAAGCGAGGATTAGGGACCGGTCATAAAGTATGTGTACTAGGGGGTGGAGGGTATTCCAAAATTCTTCCATAAAATTTGCCCCCCCCCCAAAAGCGTCGGAAAATATTTAATACCCCCCCCCCTCAAAGGAGATGAAATGTTTCCCCCCCCTCCCCGGCGCACCCAACCAATCACCCTCTCCCCAAAAACATAAAATTCTAAGAGCATAACTGTTTTGCAAATTATTCCAATCCATTGTCTGTATTGAAATATTTAGAGAGCGTTGAACATGATATCTCACGAGTGAGCGCAGCGAACAAGTGAGATATCATGTTCAACACAACAAATAAATCTTTCTGTTTATTATATAAAGGACAGTGTTTGAAAAGCGATAATTTTTACAGAAAAGCGATAATTGAAAAGCGATAGTTTTCACATGATTGTGAGATTATCATAAATAATCTCCCATGTAAGTTATCACTTTTATCAGTGCTCGCCATCTCTATAAAGCACTATACTTTATATAATAATGCTATTTATATGCCCTTCTCAAATAGAGGCTGATCTCACATATTTGTAGACTTTGGTTGTACCAGGGCGTTTATAAGATATATTATAAGATATTTATCTTATAAACGCCCTGGTTGTATCAACAGAACGTCGTGACGTATTTCATATCTTTCCCAATATTTAAATCATTCTAAAAGTAAACGAGCAGGGGAGCCACCAGACGGTAAAATAACGTAATCAAAGACTGTTCAGGTTGCAGACATGTCAAACTAATAGGTTCCGATCGAGACACTTTCGTAAATACTACTGTGCTACATTGCAATTTACGGCTAGGAACATTTAGGAACATACACTCGATTTTTTTAAAAGTATATTGTATTATAAAAATCTGTAGTTTTATTAATCATAGACATAGTATTCCACTCATTTTTTGTTTCGTATCCCCCCCCTCACAAATGTCGTAATTCGTCTCATACCCCCCAAAGGTTAGACAATTTGTTTCATACCCCCTCCCCAACGTACCCTCCACCCCCCTGTACACATACTTTATGACCGGTCAGGGCCTTTTTCGCTGACCATGCATCCAACCGTGGAATTAAAAAGCTCTGGGTACAAGGTTGTTCATGCATGACTTATTAATGAGTTTGAGAATTAGCTGTATTATAATGCCCAAGATATTTTTAGGCTGTGTAGTAACATCTGGACGGCTGAATCCTGTGTATTTGCCTAAATCAGTGTATCGATCGATTGTGTCCCACTGGGAGCGTAATTGGGTGGGTGCATAATTCAAAAACAGATATCAGCGAGACCATGCCAATATATAATCTAGAGTAAGTGTAGAGCATATCAATAAATGTACTCGATTGGAATAATATTCATTTTAAGTAATGATTCATGACGCATGTGCAAATGCAAGATGAGGGCATAATGTTGGTAAATGATTGAAAAGCCAAAGTGGCTGCTGTATATACGCATATGCGACATATACGGTGACAAACGCTCATAATACGTATCAGAAAGGATAAAAGAAATTTTGGGAGTAATATATTCGATCTTATTATTGTCACTGACATGAACCATTGAATTCAATCAATTTATATGGTGCAACTTGCTACAAATGCCCAAAAACTCTAAGAAATGTCTCAACCTTGACACTTCTGAATCTCTGTCTTTTCTTGCACCGGATGCTTCATCCAGACACCCATCTGAACGTCGGGTATAAGTGATTAAAAGGCTAAAAAATCCTTCAAATAAGATATACCGCCCTTCTGATTCCGACCATGCATGATGCCTGCATGTAGGGATTATAAATGCTAATGCGGTATTAAATGGAGCCTTGTACATGTACCTGTAGGGAGCGTAGGACGTTCCTATATTTATACCGCGTTCCTCCAGCGCCGATCGCGCGCTTTTAATTCGCATTTAATTCCCTTTAAAAGCCTCTGCGGAGGAGAAGGGTTCATGAAATAAGGGAGGTATTCAATTGCTAAGCTAAATATACATACCTGATTTTCCGCTAGATATCTCTCTTATTTAACATTTCAGGTTTTCAATGTAAATCATGCGATTGCAGATGTTGTTTCTAAATTTATATAGCTTCGTTCATTAATATATATATATAATGATTTTAAAAAATGTGTATAATAATACTATAACTTAAAATCTCCTGTACAACTTTACTTTGTATGCCTTAATGCCTTAACAACGTCATGTACTATTGTTATATAGCAGAGTCGATCTCATCGACATGGAGTTTGGTCGAGTGCATGATGTCCAACCAATATTACAAATGTAATTCGAATAATTCCAATATTACAATTGTAATTCGAATAATCTTTACGTACAGCATTTCCCGACTAAATGTTTAAAAATTACAGAATTATAAGTTATTAGATAGGTTTAATTTTTAACAAATCAACCAAATAAAGATAACTTTTGCTAAAAATGGACTGTGTGCGAGATCAAGATCAAGGACTGCATGTAAAGTCCCAGCACGATCTTCCTACACAATTTTAAAATATAAAATTTAAAATCGATTCCTTTTGTAAATTATCAAAGCGTTAGATGCAAAGAAATGCCGCCAATTAGTAAATACATTTTGTACAACTCTGTTATATTGCAAAATTCTATATAAAATTACAAATAATATGCATTACTTGATCACTCCGGACCAAAATCTGTATTAAATAAAATGAAGAATTTATGCATGTAACCAAATTTTGTATTCTTGACATCGTTATATTCGCCTAAAAAGCTGCATAAATTACAGGATGTAAATATATAAGTAATATAAACGTCTAGAAACTACAATGGTTTATGATCAATCATAGATAACTCAAAATTTGTAATAACTTAATACCGACGTGATTTTTCTTTAATTAGGTCTGCGAACTGTTAAATAAAACTAACTTGTTTAATTACTAATAGCCAAGTGAGGTGCTTTTTAGGTATACGCCCTGCTTAGCTATAATCCACATAAAATAAACAATTCATGTGGTTCAAATTATAGGCAGAGTATTCTGCGAAAGTTATCCATAACCCAACGCATAGTTTTAATGTATTTGATAGCGTTTCGGCATATTGCTGATGTCTTGACGTTTCTTACACCTCCCACCTGCTTTGGCAATTTACTTTAGACAACACCTGCAAAGAGGTAATAAGTTCGGCTTCTAAGGACGGAGATTTCAGAGCATATATAAATTGCCAGGGATTTTGTTAATCTTCCACACAAACCATACATTGTCTGCTGTCACAGAATCCTGCTCCTAAATTCGTGGACGTCTACTTCAACAAAACGTGAGTATATAATTATGGAGCTTGCCAATTTAGTTTGGTTGTTAAATCATTCCGCATGTGTTGAATTTTTTCTGATCCAAAAGATGCAAAAGAAGATTTACTGATTATCCAAGCAAATTATACAAGCTATATTTAATCTAACCAAACAAAGAAAGACAAGTTTACCTGCAAGGATACGACTTTATACTGAAGATGCATATATATATATATATATATATATATATATATATATATATATATATATATATATATATATATATATATATATATATATATATATATATATTATCTTATTCACCTGAGTACATTACACCAACACAGCAAATATCGTATATACTACTGTCAGTATATAGTTCCACGACAAGTGACAATTAATCTGGCTTTTTTCTCAAAATAAACAGTTATTTTTTTATAACATTTTTTATCCATATGCCAGGATCGTGCAAATAATCCACTTAGTCGCTATTTAAATTTTTGTTATATTTTTTTTTTGACAAATAAAAATCTTAATATAGTAAATTTATTGATGCTGGTAAGCAAAACCAAAAATTAATACTGAAAAGACAAAACATATCAAATAATATATATTTATAGCTAGTATTCGGTTATTAAATGAAATGAGCATGAAAACAATTTTGCTTTTATTAGTTGGTTTAATTTATATCCATGCAAGTATACTGGCATAGTTTTCATAACTGCAAAACTGTTTTGTTTTCTAGAAAATGAAAACAGCAATCGTATTCATCGTGTTGGTACTCTGTTTATCACAAACTATGGCTTGGAACGATGGACTTTGGGGAAGGGAATTACGTAAAAGAGTGAAACCCAAAATTGATGCTGAAACAATGAAGTTAGCTGAAGAAATGATCAACCAGCAACTTTATCGTGGAAAGGGAAGAAAGATGCAACTACAGAACGATGACAGATTACGGGAAGTGGAAGAATCATGACTGAGCAATTAAAAATATCATTCAACAAATACTAGCTGCAGAACATAAATAGCTAATCATATTAAATTAACTAGCTGTAACCGGATGTAATAAATAAGTTTGTCATATTTTCCCAGCTTATAAAGTTGTAAAGTGAGAATAAATGTTCATTAAATAAGAATTCATTGATCCAAGAATTCTTCTAAAACGTCTGTACGTCATCTATTGCTGATTTATAAGATTAGTATAAAAGTATATACTAATATACTTAGTATATTAGTATTAGTATAAAAGTATATCACGCTATATGATTAAAGTCGTTATAACAATATTGGTTTCATCAGATAGTGAACTTCTCAAAATCTCTCAGTGGGCATTATGGCATGAATGTAGGCTATATAGAGGTTCAGATTTTTTCACAAATGAAATAAGAAGTACCTTAAAATTCCCGTAATTGTTTTACACTAATCATGTATATTTTGTTTTTTATGCTTGATGGCAGGGAATTGACGAGTGAATACACCCAAGGGGGCATGCATGAAGAATAATCTTCTTTTCTCGTTGAACAACCATGAATCCCATGTCAGGTTTCCGGCCGAGGTGAGGAGAATGAGCTCGAGGGTCCAATGACAAGTACATTAAACTACAGTATCATGTTGAATTGATTATTCGTTATAAGTATTAGTATTGTCAATCTGGACCACGTTTTTATTCTTCTCAGCAGCTTACCGCCTCGCTAAATGAAGGTTCAGACAGTCCGCGTTTTCCATGCATTTCGATACATATTATAGTATGGATTCGTTGGAATGGCCGAATGGAAATCCAATTTTCATACTAATTGCAATTATAGTATGGAAATAGAATGGATATACTATGGATTTAGTGATTGCAAACTCCATAGAATGGATTAATATATATATATATTGCTTTAGTGAAAATTTAAAACATGCTTTGCCAAAATCGCTTCCACCAACAAGACTGAATTGATAAGTTTAAAATGCATTGTAATGAGATACAATATAATTATACAAATTTAACATACACTATTTCTTTGCTTTGTTGAACTACGTCTTTCTACTGTATGCAATTGAGTTATTTTGAGTTTATTATATTTGCCGCGGTTACTAACTATGATGAGATTTTGGCAATAGTAAATACAGAGATTATTAAAAAAGAACAAAAAAGTCATCAAGTTTAGCTAGATTAGTGTCAGATAAAGATCAGATTAGGGTTAGATTAAGATTATGTTAGGGTTTGGGTTAGTGTCAACATGTGTCGCGAATTTATTGCATTGATAATTTTGGACGTGTTTAACAATTTACTCATATAGTAAATTCAAAGGTGGAGCTCATGCTGCTATTTAAATAATGGAGTTTTGCAGCCAACCAACGGCAACGAACAACACTGAATTTGAGGTATCGCATTCTTGAAATAGCCGATTTCGAACCCTGAAGATATGCAGTCTGATCAAATTTTCTTTGTTGAGTGAGCAAAACAATTTTATCTATACTTTATTTAAAATATAGCTACAGATCTGTTTTGGTTGCCTGAGAAGATGCACCAGATAGTAACTTTCATACACAGCCTTAAATAGTCATAGGTCTTACACGGATTCATGGACTTATACGTTCGCAGCCGGATGTTCTGATTATCTTTCCATTTTCTGCTTCATTAATTGCAGGGATCGCATCACTGCATGCCACACCAAGCCGGCGACTATTGGGACTATTGAGTTAGTTGTCATACGTTTAGAAGAATCTTCATGGGATTCACTCCAGTGTATCGTGATCCACTCAATTGCTGTCTGAGTGATGGATTTTTCATTATTCACAGTAATGATACTATGCAGTGAATACGTTTAGTGCAGGCACATACATCATGGATAGATTTAGTATTATTTGTTTGCTCCCGTAACTATTAGTGCATTTGATGTTCACCGTTTATGCCTTACCATGTATATTAAGACTTACTGCAAGACCATCATCAGTCCACTGAGTCCAGCTTAATGATTCAGGGCCAGAAATATTTTGGTCAAAATTGTTAATATCATAAATTAGACTTGGGATCCTATCTGTGCAGTGGGGAGACAGAAAGAAAGGGGCAGAAGGTGAGAATAAGAGGCTGGAAAGGGAATAAGAGTGTGTGAAATTAATATCTCCCAATTAACTTTAGGGAGGTGGTGATCAACAACAGCGCGGAAGCAGCTCAATTGATTCCTCCCTCACGGTTGGTTGCCTGCAGACAATCCGTTACCCCCTTGACTCAACCTCCCTTTATTTTGAAAGCGCTGGCTCTGTCGTGCTGCAACTTCTACAATCATGGAAATTAATTCGTAGACTTTCCAAAAAATTCCAAAATCCCCCCTCCCCTCCCCTCCCCGTTTACAATGTTGGTCCAAAAGTCATGGTTTGAACAAACATTGTGCTAGGGAGAGGGGGGAGTTACTATTTCTAGCGATCACGAACGTTTATATTAACTAAAAAGTAAATGGCTTTACAAAATAGTATGACAATTAGATACGTTTTAAAAAAGTCTACGGATATTATTTCCATGATTGTACTTTTAGATAGTCTCAGGGGCATCGGAGCGGCTCTAAACGTGGGAAGGGCACACTTAGCGCCCGCCGAAGGCGGGTGACATTCTAGGGGGTCTGCCCCCCCCCGAAACAATTAAAACTAGAGTCTCTGAAATGCCATTTCCTGCACTTTAGAAGGAGATTTACGGACAGTTCTAAACGTACAAAATGTCATAAAATATCTCAAATTGTTTTGTATGCACGCGTAACTGAAATAATATCAATTAACTTTGTGGTTTATTATTTAACAAATATAAAACATTTTCCGTGTTGATATACAGTTATATCAACACGAGTGGAAATTGGGAAAATGAGAAATTGTGTGGAAACACGACGCCCGAAGGGTGGAGTGTTTTCACACAATTTCGAGTTTTCCCAATTTTCACGAGTGTTGATATAACTATATATCAATACGGAAAAAAGTTTTATATTTGTTTTATAATATAGCGCAAAGAAATATAAGGAAAAAAATTTTCCGACATTTCCGTGTTGACATTGAGTTATATCAACACGGCTCTTAGCCAATCAGCGTTCAGAATTTACAAATGCTATATTATAATGACCATTGTTAAAAAGTGGGGGAGCCCAAAGACATTTAGTCCCCCGCCCTAACTAAAAAAGTCCCCCCCCCCTCTGGGCCATTTATTCGTCATCTGCAACTCATTAGATGATAATCTTCAATTTGTTTAACTCTGCCAGTAAAAAAAGACAATAACAGAAAATGCCGATTTAAAAATTGAGAATTATATGTATAAACAAGGAGATGAATATGAACAAAAATCGAAAACGCAGCAATTGGAATAATAATTATAGTTATGAAAAAATGAAAAAAGCTATATTTATTTATTAAAAACTATGTTACAATTTTAGATCAATCAACACTTTTTTGGCAAAGGTAATGAATGAAAATTATGCATGAAGGAAAATGCCAAAACCTTTGCCTTTGGTGTTTCCTGCTTGTTACTGCAAAGTTGCAAATTTAAATTCTAGAGACTATATAGACTTAAAATACTCATTAACTAGTAATTCATAAACCTTGTGGCAAATCATGTCAGCCATAATATGTCACGTGGAGTGACTTTATATCTGATAAAACACATGTGGCAGTATATAATTGTTCAAAGGTATATAATTGTATAAAAGTTCATCCTAATTAGTATTCTTTTGTAGTCGTATTTTAATTAAGCTATTCAAAACACTCGTTGTCGTGTTTTATCAAATATAAAACGCTCGGCTGCGCCTCGAGTTTTATATCTGATAAAACACTCCTACTCGTGTTTTAAATAGTACATAAGACACTATAACCTGATGCATATATACTTAATTACTTATAAAATATTGTCGAAGTTGACAAATTACATACATGTAAACTGTATATATGATGCAGTGTTTGTAAGTTAACGTACGTACCTATTAAAAAGATTTCTTTTCGTATATTGCAAAAAAATTAAAAAATGATGTGTAACTTTACACAAGATTTTGCGTAAAATCTTCCTTTCAACTCAATTTTTTGTGTAAATTTAACACAAAAATAGGAGTAAATTCTTAACTTTAAAGTTAACACAAAATACTCGGTAAATAGATCATTTACACAACAATTTGAGTAAATATTTACTCACTAATTTAAGTAAATTCACACACACGTTGTCGTTGAGTTAATTTTTTCTCAGTTACGTGCATGTATGTGTAAACTCAGCACATAATATTGTGTAAACATGAGAAGCGCGTAATTTTATGAATATGAATGTGTTGCTGTGGATGCACGCAAATTTTACTCACGTTTTTGTGTAAAATTTACACATAATTTTTTTGCAGTGTCATTCTATATCGATTTATGTAATGCATGGGCCATGGCCTATACATGCAGTGATAAGTTATTTATGGCCTCTTTAGACTTTAGTACTCATTATACTTACATTGTAATATCTATTTTTGTCCGATGAACATTAAATCTAAGATATTCTGAAAACATAGTTACTGATAAGGCCGCTAAAACATTCCTGTTATTCAAGCAAAACTTATCACAAGAAACGTATAGTTTCGTGACAAGTATAATTAATTGCATACTTGTATAAGATATTAAAAGAGACTTGCTTCTGATCTTATCGCTGCACGGGAAGCGGTGTCCTTTTGTAATACTCAAGTTATAACTCATGCTGTTAGCATCTGCTCTCAAACTGCGAACGACCGATCATGATCTTAATCTATACATTACCATATTAACTGCAAAAGGTTTTATCGAGAAACTGACTTCGTCGGGGGTGTTGAGCGTAACTTTGCTGCTTCCAACGGCAACGCCCATTGAAATTTTTCTCCGGCTACATGCATGCATATAACTGGTAGTTTCAATATAAATTTCGCTTGTTTTTTAAATTCCATGCATGATGCAATAATAGAGCAATAAAGATTTCAATTTACTTGTCAGGAGAGAGTTTTCATTTCAAACAATATAATTTTAGGTCAGGTGTTCAAAATTCCACAGTCCGGAGACATGCACATAACGAAAAGTAACTCAATGCTTCATCCATGAACAAATATTGAGATTTCTTGAAACAAATGTTACAGAAGGGTCACGCATGCTTTTTTCACAAATCAAACAAATATTTTTAATTGTGTAATGGAGAAATTGTAACGGCGATTGGCTTTGAGAACTAGTTTATTGAATGCACCCATATAGCCATACACAAAAACAAATATATTACGAGAAATAATGATATAAATTATAATACTTAATATAGGGAGTCAGTTAAGGTAATTCCGCAGTTTTGCATTGCGCACTTTTACTGCGCAGATCTTATAACTTATAATTTCATCCATTATATATACGTACCATTTAAAAAAAAATCATTTTATGACAATTTTATGTTACTTCAAAACGTATTTGGTTACATTCGTGCAAAGAATTATTACGTTAAAATCAATGTTTTCAAAAAAGGCATACAAAAGTGTAGCTAGGGTTCCTGTGTCTGTAGTATATTTATTTACTTGTACTCACGTTTTAATGCCACAATTCCCCAAAAAGATCGGTGACCCCCGTTTTTTAACTGATAATTTATTTCTTTAATGCATTTTACATTTCAAATCCGAAATTAAAAGAAAAATCATTTCTGGATCTTGAAAAAAATCCTTTATCAATGCATGTTCTCAAAGAAAGATATGTAAAGAAATGTGGAAAATACATTTGTGGATCAGAATGGTACACGTTAGTAGTTTCATTTTGCTCAAAACACAATATTTTTTCAAAACTAATTACAAGATAGGTTCACTAAAGCAAAATCCGCGCTAAAAACGTCAATAAATATCGGGCTGTTGTCATTTTGCTGTTACTCGTAATGAGCGTCAAGATGGCGCCACATTGGGGTAAAGATGGTATATTGTGATTGTCATATCTTCTTAACGAATTCGGCGACCCCGACTTTTTTGTGTGATTTTACTTTAAGTATATCATAAACTCCATGCCTGGGAAGTTTCAGCACATTCTCATTTCGGGAACAATTACTGCGGAATTACCTTAAGCATTCGAACTTTCTTGGCAAAATTTTCGTTGAACGTTTTCGTTTCATATTTTCTTTCTTGTGTCCAAAGAATAATCATGCATTACAGTTTTGAAACAACAATATAAGTTCATTTACTCTTTATTGCCTGATACCGTAAAATTTTTCTTTGCCTGGCGTTTGCCGTTTGACAGCCTATGTAAAACGCGAAGCTTAAACTCTCTAATAGCTTCACAATTATGACGTATTGTGATGCCAAACTAATCTTATATAAGATAAAATGCTTCTTGATCAAAATTTAGCAAATATATTTCAATAGGCCGTTACTCTTGCATGCATGCTTTTCTTAGGAATTAATGAATTCACATTGCGATTTGGAGTTATATTATTTTTTATATTGTTTTTTTTTTGTAAATTATGATACTCTCAGTCTTTTATGACAATGCATAATCTCATAATAGGAATGCAATGGAAAAATATTAACTATAAAATCCTCTTCAATTGCATGTCATTCTCCGCCCCTATTATATATAGTGCATGACTTGTATAAATTTGACTGGATTGTTTGGGCATCTCATGATCATGCACTCGATTGATAGATTTTGAGATGGCAATTTTGAGTGTGAATTTTATACATTTATTTATACCTATCTTATAACCAGGGCAGCTGTCAGTGAAAAATGCAAGTATAGACCCTCTGGAATCGACCTGCATGCATGCATGCATGTGTCCCAGGGCTCTTACCAACTGAGCTATAAAGAGTCCAGTTGTCGAGCTCTAACGGCAAGTTCATGTACGGTATATAAACTTGATTGCATGCATGGATTTCTTCCTAAAATAGTCGAATTTAAATGATATAATTATATGACGAGCATGTATGTACTGATGCTGAGTATTAATTTATAGAGTATGAAATTTAATGGAGTCTTGCATGGACTTTTTATTTTAATTGAAAAATAAAATCGATGTATAAAATTGAGGATTTGGAATTGAAGACTATAGCCGGACGTCTATATAATAATGTTTAGTTGCTGAGTATATAGTAATTTATTTACAAATATAATTGGAAAATATCTCCTAGTAATAAAAGTTAAATAGTAACTCGAACGGTCTGTACCTATAGGTTGTGACAAAACACCTGAAAAGTTAGCTATACTAACTTCCTGACGAAAGAGTTTTACTTGTATTTTTCATAGTTGAATCCCTATTAATTCGCAGTTTTCGTAAGTTAATAGTAACCTGTTTTATGGCAAAATAACCATAAAACCGAAAATAGAGTATGATCATATACTGTATAGTAGAATATATCGTATATTTGGAATTACGTACTGTTGTGTTGTATATATATGTTTTATTGAATACTCATGCAACGTGAGGCCCAATGATTCCATAATAAGAATTCGATCAAACACTATAAAATCGTGTAATATTTTTTGTTCAAACAAAAATAAAATCCACCTTAATTGTCATTCTAGACTCCTGCAGTGTATAAAATCGAGGATTTGATGATTTCATCCTAAAACTTTAATAGATTTATACTATGACGCATATGCAGCTGTATAACCGTTTAGTTGCTCAGTATATTAATTTACACATATAATTGAAAGTATCTTCTAGTTGAGAATTTCGTTTTAAAACATTCCGGTTTCAACCTCTTCAATTTTATTCACAATGTCTTACATGTAGCGGTTTAGACAATAAGTTTTAACCTGCATGTTGTAGTTTTAACTTGTTTTATATAGGAGTAAGATTACAACAATAAAACATTATAAATATCGGATGGTTTGCTTAATGTCATTTTACACCCTTGCAGTTTATAATATTGAGGATTTGAGGAGTTTCATCTTAAAATAGTCGAGTTCAGTCAATTTTTGCTTAATGTTATTTGACACCCCTTGCAGTGTAGAAAATTGAGGACTTTACGAGTTTCATCTTAATTTTCAGTTTTATTTACTACATGAGTTTTATTTAGCCTACTACATGAGTTTTATTTACTACATGAGTTTTATTTACTACATGAGTTTTATTTACTACATGAGTTTTATTTACTACATGAGTTTTATTTAGCCTACTACATGAGTTTTATTTAGCCTACTACATGAGTTTTATTTACTACATGAGTTTTATTTACTACATGAGTTTTATTTACTGTATATTGTTTCTCATCATGCATGGCTTTCTCCAACGTTGAGAGCGGCCATTTATCATTATGCCATTGCGGAGATACAAATTTCTATTTTAAATTCTCATTAATTTCCGGTACAATATTAGGCTACAATGGAAAGCGATGCGTCACTACTTGAGGTTTAAAAAGGCGTCAAAGGCAGAGAACAAAATAGTACTTGGTAAAGAAATCTGTAAAATTTGGTTAATTAATGAAAGGTCCAAGGCACTTTTTTGCATTATAATGGTTGAAAATGGCAATGATGGCCATCGAGGCGGCTGTCTGGCATGCGGGCGGGGGATAAGAAATTAATATGCAACAAATAGTGGCCTAACCGTTTATGTGCTGAACATTAATTTCTTCATAATTGGAAAGTATCTTCTTGTAATAAAAGTCATATATAATCTTAGCCTGTTGTTTTCATTAATTATCTCTGTCAAGCACTATTTTCAAATCCTTCAGCTTGATAGCTACTTTGTCAGCACGTTCATAGCAGGGAGAAATGTGTTGTTGTTTGCAAAATAAGGCGTTCAATCCCACGTTTTGTTTGGTAGAATTTTCCTTACCTTACATAGAGAATGAAAAATCAGTATCGGTGGAATGAAACCCCACCCATGTTCACGATTGTTCTGCATTAGAGTACTTTTCAAATAACATGGTTTGTAAAAAAATTGCGTTGTAATTTGCAGTAAAGATTACTGCCTCGGAATATGGCCTTAACAGTTTTTTAAAGTTACGGAAACTTTCCTGTACTATTAAATCTTTCACCCTAAATTAATTAAACCAAAGTTTTGTCTGAGTTAGTTGAAATAACACGTTTATAAAATTATGAAAAAACAAATTTTAAAAAAATTCAGTACTGCTATAAATTCAACTTTAGTATGTTGTTTTAAGTCCACGCATGTACAGAGCTAATCAAAAACACACTTCCCACGCCAGATGTCAAAGAGGTCACAAAAAGCAGCATGTTTCATCAGGAAAAGGATTCAAATATTTCATAACCACAAAGAAAAGCGTTTAAATTAACAGGAAGATTTTATATAAAAAACGTAATGTAACGGTGAAAGTGCAAGTGATCCGGATTTGTGTCTCCCCAGGAAAGCAGTTGCACATTAATGAGCCAGCTCTCACTGCTGCATGCTATAAAAGGCGTGACTTCTACTCAGAGGGTTGTCTCATTGTGGCACAAACAAGGTACAGATAACTACTAATTATTAAGGAGGTACGTTAAACAATTGTAGTTTATTTACTAACGATTTTTATCCTAAGTATTGACTATTGGCTATTATACTGAATGTATATAAGCATGATAATGATAATATGTATTGGGTAACACTGAGGGAGGCATTACATATAACATGAATATATGTTATAGAACAGAAAGTCTTCTTAATAAACGGAATTTAATGTTTTATATTATTGATTGCCTTTTTCCTATTTTGTTAAAATCGCCAGATGGTTTAGAAAAATCGCTGTAATGAAAATTACACTGTAAATTTCTAGGTGAGTTATCCAAAAAGTGCTATCTATAAAAAACGTCGACAGATAAAAAACTACCTTGGTAAAAGTTTTACTAGCATTTAAATAAATAATTTTCAAAATGTAGACATTTCGATGAATTTCGAAATATTCTTTGGCTTAAGGATGCTTAAAGACAGATGAGGATGCTTTCGCAAAGTCCTTCGTCTCTACTCAAAACGAAGGAATTTCAGAGGAAGTACTTTACAAAAGACTAAGGAATTTGCGAAAGTCAATATGTGAAAACCAAGGACTCGTTTTCCAACTTGCAATGCGCCATATTTTACCGACCCAGGTCGGTAACGCTGATCTATATATAATATGTACTCGCTTTGCTGATTAGCTGTTAAACCAATCAGAGGGAACCTGATAAAAGAACATGTCAATTAAAACGACACATTTAGTGTTTCATGAAAGTCTAATTAACACTAGAAATAGCGCAGTTTTGGCGCGAAACGCAAACGAAAATACTGCAAGCGAGACAAGACTTGTTCATCCTTCTACCAAACAACAGCTCAAACGGGCTTTTTGATTTGGATGAGTGAGGTGTGTAGGCCTCCAACATTCCGTCTATCTTCTCTTTGTAATCGGTATTTTCTTTCTTTGCTATACGAATAGCTTCGTTCAGATTTTCCATGAATCGTTCATATTCACCGTTCGCTCGTGGATGTCTCGGTGTGATTCTGTGGTGGTAAAACTCCTTCTTCTCTGCATATTCACGAAATTGGTGACCATGAAATGGTGGTTCGTTGTCAATTTTGACTGTATGCAGTTTTCCAAAGGTGGCAAAGATTGAATCCAGAACTGGCTTAACGTTTGCGAACGATGTTGAATTATAGTATCTGACGATCGAAATTTCTTTGATCTTTGGTAATCTTTCGGTCTTGTACGGCAATACGAACTGAAGTGGATTAATTTTCCAAAGGAGTTCTTGCCAATAGCTAGACAAGTCTCGTGTGATATGTCATATCCACATCTGAGGACTTTCTGCGTGCAGTGTTTCGTAAATCTTCTGTGTTCTTTTGTATTGGATTCTCGGTGTTTTTAAACGAATACACCTTTTGCTTTGACGATCTTCCGCGTGACTTTTCTAGTTTTCTGCATAAGTGTAGCCTATATTCTGCAGGACGATTCTGATTTAATTTTAATTTAGATTTCATGTCATCGGTTTGTGCTTTGATATAATGCTTCATCGTAGCATGTTTCAATGTTTCATGAATGTTTTTAAGTCCAAATTTTTTGCCAGGGCTTCGTCCTGTAACTTCTCGTCAACGCATGTCGAAAGCGATCGGTCTAATATCATTTCGTCATCATAGCCTTGGAGTTCACAATCTTTAGCTATAGGCAGGTGTCGTAATTCGATTTCATATTGTGCTATCGTTTGACCCGCCTCCTTTCTTGCTTTCTTAAATCGAAAGCGAGCATGAAGCCGTAATTTCTTAGATAGGCCTATGTGTGAACAATCAGATCTGTGTATTCGTTTGCATCGTTATTGTACAGGTTCAAATTTGACTTCCATTACCGCTACCGCCATTAAGGGACCATTAACCCATCAGATACTTTGATATATCCGATTAACCAATCAGATACGTTTGATACCCGATTAACCAATCAGATGCGTACTAAGTAATTGAGAGGAAGTGGTAGTGCATGGAAGTCAAATCTGAACCTCTCTATTGTCTGTCTCAGGAGAGTTCTCGTCTATATAGATGTTCGCCACGCCCACTAATAAGCACATTCTTTTATCTTTCGGGTCTTTAATGTTGAAATCGTCCTATTGTAGCTCGATTTTCTCTTAGCATGTCGTCTGTCGGAAAGAATTATTCGACTTTAAGGGCTTTCTTCAATGGTTTTGGACGCATCGTAAGAGAAATTATATTGCGGCGCTTGTCTCGACTGAATGATTGATTTCACACGCAACACCAACAGTTTTTCGTCCAATGTATTCTCGACAAAATATTATGCTAGTTTACATAAACTTTAGCTTTGATTTTCTCGGCTAAGACACCGTTGATTTTTAAAATTACTTCGCCAATGAACTAGACTCATAAAAGGAGTCGTTTTTTAAGCCATTTAAAACATTCCCAGTCCGTCTTTATCAGGTATAAAACACTCGGCTGTCGCCTCGTCTCTCGTGTTTTAAATATATTAATTATTTAACAATTATAACATAGCATTTGTAAATTCTGAACGCTGATTGGCTAAGAGCCGTGTTGATATAACTCAATGTCAACACGGGAAATTTTCCGCCGCTTGTCAACACGGAAATTTTTCTTATCCTTCGGGCTTTTGACATTGCTATATTATAAAAAAAATATAAAACATTTTTTCCGTATTGATATATAGTTATATCAACACTCGTGGAAGTTGGGAAAACTCGAAATTGTATGAAAACACTCCGCCCTTCGGGCGTTGTGTTTCCATTCAATTTCTCGTTTTCCCAATTCCACTCGTGTTGATATAACTGCATATCAACACGAAAAATGTTTTATATTTGTTGAATTTTACATATTCAAATTCTAACTAACAATACCGTTCATGCATAATATCGCACAACAATTAACTCAAAGAAAAAGAAATCCAAACGGCTGCACCGGCATGCAAAAATGATACTATAATCCTCGAAGAAATCTATAAATACTGCAGTATATAATCTTGCCACTATATACTATGTGCTATGACTGCAGATGAAGAGAGGGAGTATAATGATATAATATGTTTAATGGGAAACATTCTATATATGGTTTATCAATATTGTCATTTTTCTTTTACTTCACTAGGAAAATGTCTAAACTATTCATATCAATAGTTGGAATTTTAGTATTACTTTCTTTTTCTGCTATCTCTGGCGAAAATGATAAGTTAAGCAAAGATGTGACAGATATACTACATGACATATTTGGTGAATATGTCCCTCAAATCGGCGTTGACGATGAAATTGCCGGACTGCAATTTTATGGAGCTGCGAAACAGTCATCGAACCATGAAACTGGTGAGGAGACAGTACGCCTGGGTAAAAATGTGGAAAAACCAAATGAGAAAAGACAAACAATTGATTGGAGTCGGTCACAAACAGGGGTGAAGAATGCCGGTATTGCTGGATCCTGCTGCACAGGAATGTGGGGTCGATCACTTCGCAATACAAAAAATGGTTCATTTAGGAAATCGTCTGTCAACGGTTTGGAATCACCCAAAAGTGACAAGGAAATTGCTTCTTCAGCAGGGTTAACAACCATTTCAGGTCCTCCAAGTGAAAACAGACTGCCAGAAAGGAAGAAACCCGTTAGAATGTTGAGAAAATCTCTGCAACCAAATAACCCAAGTCAGTACAGGAAATTCAGTTCAAAAAAGCTAAACTAGTTAACGAACTCATACTGAGAACAAATGGAATAGTAATGTCTAACGAACTAAAAACATTATGTACTTATATTATTTAGGAAATAAATATAGCTATATTAGAGTGGATGACATAAATAATGAGACGTTAAATAGATGAAGAATGAAATAGTTACGTAAAAACTATGTAAGTTTGAAAAATCCAAATATAAGCTCCAGCATCAATTCGTATCAATGTATTTCAATTTATACACGTTTATTATTATACAGTTTTAATTATGTTGAACGCTACTGAATGTTAACTACATCATCTGGCGTAGATGTTTTCTAATTGTGTATTTTTTGTACAGCGAGCTCTATATATCTGGAGCAAGAATTATATGGAGCTCACTGCTTTTGTGTTGCTCTAATTTTTCCAGGCCATTTTAACACCGTAGATTAGTTTACTAGAATAATTCTCCCAGTAGCCTAACAATAGATAGCTTAAGATCTACGACGTCAACATCAGCTAGGACGTCAGGGCTATGCAGAGGACTGGGACTAGCATGTCGTCCTAATGTAGTCCCAGTTCTCTGCTTAGCCCTGACGTCCTAGCTGGCGTCGACGTCGTAGATCTTAAGCTGTCTAATATCCTCGCTGAGAGGAATGCATAACGTCACAATGAAGGATCCTCCTTTTGCCTAAAATTGTCGCATACAACCTGCTTACAATTCGTCTACGTTGTCGTAGATGAGTCGTATGCTTGATTTACACACAGTACAACTCACGTTGTAAGCAGGTTGCATGCGACAGTTTTAGGAAAAGTTGTGTAGTGTCGTAGGTGAGTCGTGTGCTTGATTTACACACAGTACAACTCACGTTGTAAGCAGGTTGCATGCGACAGTTTTAGGAAAAGTTGTGTAGTGTCGTAGTTGAGTCGTGTGCTTGATTTACACACAGTACAACTCACGTTGTAAGCAGGTTGCATGCGACAGTTTTAGGAAAAGTTGTGTAGTGTCGTAGGTGAGTCGTATGCTTGATTTACACACAGTACAACTCACGTTGTAAGCAGGTTGCATGCGACAGTTTTAGGAAAAGTTGTGTAGTGTCGTAGTTGAGTCGTGTGCTTGATTTACACACAGTACAACTCACGTTGTAAGCAGGTTGCATGCGACAGTTTTAGGAAAAGTTGTGTAGTGTCGTAGGTGAGTCGTGTGCTTGATTTACACACAGTACAACTCACGTTGTAAGCAGGTTGCATGCGACAGTTTTAGGAAAAGTTGTGTAGTGTCGTAGGTGAGTCGTATGCTTGATTTACACACAGTACAACTCACGTTGTAAGCAGGTTGCATGCGACAGTTTTAGGAAAAGTTGTGTAGTGTCGTAGTTGAGTCGTGTGCTTGATTTACACACAGTACAACTCACGTTGTAAGCAGGTTGATTGCGACAGTTTTAGGAAAAGTTGTGTCGTGTCGTAGTTGAGTCGTGTGCTTGATTTACACACAGTACAACTCACGTTATAAGCACGTTGCATGCGACAGTTTTAGGAAAAGTTGTGTAGTGTCGTAGTTGAGTCGTATGCTTTATTTACACACAGTACAACTCACGTTGTAAGCAGGTTGCATGCGACAGTTTTAGGAAAAGTTGTGTAGTGTCGTAGTTGAGTCGTGTGCTTGATTTACACACAGTACAACTCACGTTGTAAGCAGGTTGCATGCGACAGTTTTAGGAAAAGTTGTGTAGTGTCGTAGTTGAGTCGTGTGCTTGATTTACACACAGTACAACTCACGTTGTAAGCAGGTTGCATGCGACAGTTTTAGGAAAAGTTGTGTAGTGTCGTAGTTGAGTCGTGTGCTTGATTTACACACAGTACAACTCACGTTGTAAGCATGTTGCATGCGACAGTTTTAGGAAAAGTTGTGTAGTGTCGTAGTTGAGTCGTATGCTTGATTTACACACAGTACAACTCACGTTGTAAGCAGGTTGCATGCGACAGTTTTAGGAAAAGTTGTGTAGTGTCGTAGTTAAGTCGTGTGCTTGATTTACATACAGTACAACTCACGTTGTAAGCAGGTTGCATGCGACAGTTTTAGGAAAAGTTGTGTAGTGTCGTAGTTGAGTCGTATGCTTGATTTACACACAGTACAACTCACGTTGTAAGCAGGTTGCATGCGACAGTTTTAGGAAAAGTTGTGTAGTGTCGTAGTTGAGTCGTGTGCTTGATTTACACACAGTACAACTCACGTTGTAAGCAGGTTGCATGCGACAGTTTTAGGAAAAGTTGTGTAGTGTCGTAGTTGAGTCGTATGCTTGATTTACACACAGTACAACTCACGTTGTAAGCGGGTTCATGCGACAGTTTTAGGAAAAGTTGTGTAGTGTCGTAGTTGAGTCGTGTGCTTGATTTACACACAGTACAACTCACGTTGTAAGCAGGTTGCATGCGACAGTTTTAGGAAAAGTTGTGTAGTGTCGTAATTGAGTCGTGTGCTTGATTTACACACAGTACAACTCACGTTGTAAGCAGGTTGCATGCGACAGTTTTAGGAAAAGTTGTGTAGTGTCGTAGTTGAGTCGTATGCTTGATTTACACACAGTACAACTCACGTTGTAAGCAGGTTGCATGCGACAGTTTTAGGAAAAGTTGTGTAGTGTCGTAGTTGAGTCGTGTGCTTGATTTACACACAGTACAACTCACGTTGTAAGCAGGTTGCATGCGACAGTTTTAGGAAAAGTTGTGTAGTGTAAATCAGCCTTTAGAGTTTTTAAATCCTGATAGAGAACTTGTTGTACTAGTAGAACTACAATTTTCAAATTGGAATCAAATAGTTTACGGGTAGTTTTTTACTATACTTTTAAAACAGTTGCTGTTTTTAAAGTATATTAAAAAACTATTCGAGAACTATTTGATTCTGTAGTTGTAACTGTAACGAACTACATTTTTTCAAGTGGTTGATTACTTTTCAAACAACAATCGCTATTCGCTACTTTTCTAATTTCTCATCAATCGACTGGACATAAATAGAAATTGATATCACGCCAAATCTCACTTCCAGGGCATGCAATTTTTATCCACTGTAAATTAATCAATAAGACTTTCTTAAATTGCTAGTGCTCAGTCCCCCAGTCTAAGTATGCTTATGAATTGGCGGATTTCGGGGGTTAGCAGAAGTGAAAAGCCTGAGTATCAGGTTGTGAATTAGCTTGCCATGCAGCGATTATCTAGTTCGAGTCTTCCGATAGCTTGCCCAAGGTTGTGTTAATTTATCACAAAGATGGACTATTCCTCAAGACGACCTTCATGTGCAAGTCGTTCGCATACCTCGTTTTGTTTGATGGATGATCAACCTGCTTGCCACATTTATGTCAGTGACTCAGTGACAGTTGCTACAGTTTACTATCTTTCCTTCGCCCATGCAAGTTTGTGCCAGAAAGGGTTGGGGTCAAACGCGGATGCGAACGGACGGACAAAAGAATAAAATGCGTATGGCGCAGTGAAATGCATAATAAAATAGTTTGTTTAAATAATAGCTAAAGAACATTATTTACAAGCACCTCTCGAACAGGGACGTGCTGGCTAGGGACGAGCCGAAGAGAACTTTCTGTGGGCCCCTGCCATCATGGGCCCCTAAAATTAAAACATTGGAAAAGATAAAAAATATCGATTTTAATTTTGAAAATCAAAGATCAAGATATTACAATTTTTTTTTTACTCTCGCCAACAATTTTTTTTTTACTCTTGCCAACAATTTTGAGGAAAGAGATTAATTAGCGACTGAAATGTTTCATATTTGATCAGTAATACCCCACCCCAATTTTGATCCATCTTGGCCTGAGCCCCATCAGACGTTGCTCATTTGTCGTCCTTTTCAAGACCCCAGAACGTCCCTGCTCTCGGATTGCTTACTCTATACATCTATATCTATTGATTTGTCACCTGAATTGTGTGTCCTCTCAATAATACACAGGTCGCATGACCTTTGCACAAAAAACAATAGTGCTGCGCGTGGGTATAATGTATGAATATGATTATATGAAAGAAAAAAAATATAAATTGCATAGACTATGCATAGACTAGGAACGAGATATTGACATTTATGGGATCCCTTTGACCAGGGTAAAATAACGTCGTTGGTTTTATATTGTACTTCTTAATATCCAGTCGTCGTAGGTTACTCACTCGTGCAAAAAATAAACATTACATTCAGCGATTCTGCAATTATTGCCTTTTCTATCAGAACGGCAACGGTGTTACAAATAAAGTTTACCGTCATTCCAGTTGTTTAAAATTTTCCAAATGAACTAAAAGGATTTCCTCCTTGGCAGTTTTTGTACCGGATTACCTTAATGTGACATTTTCAGGAATAAGTATAGCGGTGCCAACATGCATGTAGTCATTGTACTCTGTGTGTAAATGATGTTAGTGGTGAATTAAATTATTATTATTATTATAAATTCTGGAAATATTTAATGTTGAAAACTCTAAAATATGAATATCCATTTTTTGTAGCCTCAGCAGGGTTCGTTCATACTGGGTTCTCATATGAAGCAGCCTTACCCCTGGCATGCTAATTGTCCCATCTTGGGTCACACTATTTACAGACGAAATAATATTTGGCCAGGTGGTTGTGATTTGGGAAACATACACTCGTGAGTTTTGATTTCAATTTTGATCATCTTTGAAAAACTCACTCGTGCATGTTTTTCCCAAATTGCACTCGAAACCATACTATTACCCATACATGTTCGATCCATGCTGGTGATATTCAGCACATTTTTTTTCAAGTTCACGAGTACTCGGCGAAAACTTGAAAGCTTTGCATTTTACACAAACCTGATAATTTTTTGTAAGATGTGTGCTGACAATATACGAACCCGCACGGGCGGGAGAAAATTTGTCAATTTTGACCAACGTCTGCGCGTGTATTGTGAGGCAATAATGCACTGTGGTCCTTGCTTTTTGTGTGCATTTTTCCCATTCATCTCTGCTTTTTAGCAAAAAAAAACACAACAATTTTAGAGCTTTTAAAATACAAAATTTATCAGAAAGCAAGAAGGAATGGACCAAACGAACAAAGCAATTTTATCTGTAGTTCCAGGTGTAAAAATAGTAAAATTAACCGGCTTGGCATTCGTCGAATTTGTTTTTGTCTCGACAAGTTTTGCGGGCAAAAGCGTGCAAAATGGACGAGAAAAACCTTGAAAAAGATACAAGAATACTAAAAACATAGAAAAAGGGGGAAAAACTGAACATAAGTGATTTAGAAAGCACCTACAATGCTTTCTGATAAAAACGGCTCTAAGTGAACCAGCGATCCCCAGAATGGCTGAATCACTTACGCCCGTATTCTAAAAGCTCGCTCATACTCACACTCAATAAGTGGAAGTTCAATCTGAGGTTTTCTTGAGTGTGAGTGTCAATGCTATTTTTGAATAGCTGGAGGGTTAGTGTCGTACCTTACTATGTGACTACTTACCCTCCAGCTATTCAAGAACAGCATTGACACTCAAGAGAAGCTCAGATTGAAACTCCACTCATTGAGTGTGAGTGAGCTTTTAAAATACAGACGTTAGACCTCGTCCGTCAATTAACGAAAACGCGGCAATTACTGAATTACGCCCGTATTCTAAAAGGTCACTCACACTCAATGAGTGGAGGTTCAATCTGAGCTTTTCCTGAGTGTCAATGTTATTTTTGAATAGCTGGAGGGTTAGTGTCGTACCTTACTATGTGACTAGTCACCCTCCAGCTATTTAAAGACAGCATTGACACTCAAGAAAAGCTCAGATTGAACCTCCACTCGTTGAGTGTGAGTGAGCTTTTAGAATACGGGCGTAAAGGCTGCATTCCAGTTACGCGTTTTTCATACGTGCGTACACGCACGTGAAAGTTGAATTCGCTTAAAATTTCATATAAGTGCAAATAGCCTTAACAAATACACATTAAATCATACACAAAACTGAATGCTGTCCTTTTATAAATTTAGTTATTTCATAAGTAGGATGTAAAGCGAATTCAACTTTTACGTGCGTGTATACGCACGTTTGAAAAACGCGTAACTGGAATGCAGCCTTTAGGCCTAATACTGCTGACGTTAACTATCCAAGAATATCAATATAATAACGCAGGGAAGTAATAAAAATAATTTACATCCTGTTCCGTCTGTCGAACTTGCTTATAAAATTCCTACTAGAAGTTACCACTAATACTAATTTTAAAGATAAGCACTCGCCCCTACCGACCTTGCTCATTTCCAACTCTCGATCGCTGCAGAGCAAGACAGATGAGCTTGCTTGCACCGTGCATGGCTATTTACTCCGTCAACGTGGCGGTTATTACTGAAACTTGGCTTTCTGCTGATGTTCCCAGTACAGCCATCGACCTTCCTGGTTATTCGGTGATAAGGCATGATAGATCCGACGGAAGAAGGGGTGGTGGCGTCTGCGCTTATGTTAAGGATCTCCTACCCCTATAATTCTCCTAAGCGATCTTTCAAATTCTGATTTTGAATCACTGTGGCGCTTCTTGAAACTGCATCGCCTACCTCGTGGCCTGAATTCCATCATTTTGGGTGTAATTTACCATCCACCTGGAAACGACGACATTGATTTACATAAAATCACATTACAGAAAATCTTGACTCCATTCTTTCCACCCAAATTCTGGTATTATTTTAACTGGCGACTTCAATCAGTTCAAATATCAACGGTTATGCTCCTCCTTTAGCTTCAAGCAGATTGTCAACCAAGCCACAAGAGGTAACAATATTTTAGACAAAGTATTTACCAACATCTCAAAGTATTACAACACCCCTAACGTTGTTGATCCTCTCGGATCCTCCGATCACAATTCAACAGTTCTGAATCCATTCATGTCCCACGCGAACTCCAACTCAAGATCCTCCCGTCTCGTGAGAGACGCACGACCTTCTAACCGGAGAGTAGTGAGTTGTGCAAAGTTAACTGGTCTCCATTGTACCACATGCAATCCTGCGACGAGCAGTCTCACTTCTTTACTGACACCGTCAACGAGGTCATTGACAAGTACCTCCCACTCAGCCAAGTAAACGCCGACTCCGGTGACAAGCCGTGGATTTATACGTCAGAGATTAAAACTCTGATTATAAAGCGACAACGTGCTTAGTCCAGAGGAAATAATATCACCTTTAAGCGCTATAGGAAAGTGGTGAATGCTAAGTGTAAAAAAGCTTATAACTCCTACTACAATAAGAACATTGCTAACGTCCAGCAGTCCAACCCGAAAAAGTGGTGGTCAGCGGTAAAAAATATCGCAGGTCTTCTTCGTCTAAAAGTACTAAAACGTTGATGTATGATAAGGTAAAGAATTAGCCGACTTGTTCAACGACAAATTTGTTGCTGTTGGGTCGACGCTTCCACCACTTGATTGGACTCCGCTTCCTGTTGACGTTTATCCATCCGAATTCATCATATCCGTTGAAGATACCGAAGCAGCATTCCTTTCAACTAAACTCCATATATTCTGCTGCTGGTCCCAACGAAATATCGGCGTGGTTTCTTCGCGAGAACGCATCCACTTTAATTGTGTCGCCCACTGACTAAACTCCATTTTTAATCTGTTCCTCCGCCAAGGCTTTGTCCCTTCCTTGTGGAAATCAGTTAATGTTTCCCCAGTACCAAAATCTTCCCCCGCTCAAGACATCGACTCAGATCTTCGTCCCATCTCCCTCACGGCCATTGTTTGGCTTTTCTTTAGAAACAATCGTAGGACAGATCGACCCTCTTCGGTTTGGCGCACTACGAGGCTCAGTGAAGCCCAAGCATGGCTCTCGTCCACCTCCTCCATAAGTGCTACGAAGCATGCGATTACCTTGGTTCATCCTTACGGATCTGCTTGTTAGACTTTTCAAAAGTCTTTGATCGGATCGATCATAACGTCTTACTGAGAAAGCTTCAGCAAATGGCCGTACACCCAGTTCTCATTAATTGGATCGCCGACTTCTTGTCTAACATATTACAGAGTCAGAGGACAAAGACTGGTCAGGACTACTCTGCTTGGAAGTATATTCAAGCTAGCGTTCCACAGGGAACAAAACTAGGTCCCTTACTTTTTTTAATCATGGGAAATGATCTCAAACTGGCTACAGACCTTGTCAAAAATTTGTCGATCCTTCCACAACGTGGGAAGTCCTGCACAGATACTCCCAATCTAATCTTCCCTCAACCATGAAAGCGTGCGAGGAATGGACATGTGATAATAACATGAAGTTGAACGCTTCAAAGACGAAGGAGATGCACGTGAACTTCTCGTCTAGTTCGCCCTCTTATCCACCAATTGTGATAAACAACAAACGTTACGCATGCCAAGCTACTAGGTGTTAGCATCTTGAATGACTTGAAATGGAACTTGCATGCAAATGCCATCTGTATTCTGTAAGGAGGCTTCCAAGCGTTTATACGCCCTGCACATTGAAAATTATAATCTCAATCTGCATTCTGCAGTTACATTCAGTAAAATATGTTATTATTTTCACTAACAATCAGACACAATTAATGTTCGAAAGCAATCGCCTAACAATTTTTGTTATAATCATAGAAACTGCTCTGTTACATCGTCATCGCCAAGATTCTGAGTTCATAAATTGTCAATTAACTATAAGAATTATTGATCATATTTCAAACAGGCGGAACATGGGGATAAATAAAATCGATTCCAAGATGTCTGTAAAACTCAATAAAGTTCCTCAATCAATTATAGAAATATATAACCTTTTGCTTTTGTCGAACAGAAGTTTAATTTTAGTGTCAGAGCTGCTATAGCCTATGCCTATATGTCTGTAAAATTGCTATTTTTAAAACCGACGACTGTGCAAATGTCTGTAAAATTGAGCACAAATGTCAAATTTATGTAGTATTGTACTGTATATCTTTGGCAAGATGAAAGCAATTACAATGTAATACTATGAACATTTTATGAGCAGAAAGCGATATTTTCCAACTTTCATCTATCCGCTGCGTACAGTGTTGATTACAGCCAATTATATAGACTTCATGCTAGGCTAGGCTATTTAATAAATAGCCATTCATTCTCTTAAGAACTGCCATTTGCTACTGATTTGTATACACTTGACCCACTCGCGCGATTATCTATGACAAAATGGCCTACATTAATGAAACAATATAACTGCATACTGTCCGTAATAATATCTTTACTGTGACAGACACTTAATTGCATGGCATGCAGAGGAACAAAAAAATGATTTTGTTTTCCGCCATTCATTTGCATCAGTTGAATTTCAGATTAAAACGCGGTGTTCAGTTTATGTAAAAAATATAAATAGGCAATATAACTGAAGGTAAAGGAAATATAGTTAATAATCAATACTAATAATTTTGAAAAAAATTGCATGGCAACTTAAATACTACAATCTGATATATATAACAACTGTGCGCCCATCAGATTACGATGTCTATATTTTAAACTTGCAAGACCAGATGACTGCATGATCATTTGCGAACTAAAAAATCTTCAAATTTTCACGAACTATAAACTACATGTAAAATTATAGCCCGGTTAGTCATTGTAGCATTTGTTATAATCCATTTTGTTTAGTTCGCAAAGGGTTTGGGCATTATTGTGAGGCCTAGGCTAGGCTACAATCGTTTGGACTATAATTAAGATTGATTATTGAATGCAAACTAGTTGTAATTAAAATAAAATAACACATATTAAAGCAAGATGGAAATGCAAAATTTTGAGTACATATTTCACTGTACAATTAATGTATATACTCGTATATAATTAAGGTAGGAACATTGTTGAGATATCAGCTGTTTTACAAGCGTTCATGAATCGTTTTTGACCTCACTACACAATTTGCATACCATTAATACATCATCCAACGCTTTATTATACCATATCACATATATCATTACGTCCCAAACTGATATTCTCTTTTGAGTCTTTCACTTATAGTGATCATTCAAGTGGGATAATGGGTTTCACTTAAGTTTACAGCTAATTCTTATCTTGGGAGTCATAAAGCATTGATCTTATCAGCAATTTGTTGTAATAAATAAGCCTGGCTGGAATGGACGGTACTTTCGAAAGGAGCAAGTTATTCTCGCAGTGTAACAATTCAAAAACAATGAAAAGATCAATAAAAGGGTAAGTTGAAACTATGCTTTTGTATTTCTAACACGATACACTGCAGTAGCAGGAATTTGATATTTCGTTATGAAATGACTATATCTAAAACACCAAAATTAAATAGCCTACAATTTAATCTTTCAAGACAGTGCAACATATGGGAACATTACGGGAAAGGCTGTTCCACTTGCTCTTTGCTCTCTTTACCAAGAGGAGCCACGGGAAGCAGAGGTTCCCTTTTGTTTTTAAACTATTTTTTAAAATTATTGTTCTACCAGAACAGTAAAGCATTTACTTTCATGATTAATCATGTGTAAGCCATATTCATCGATTGGCGCCAGTAAGTTTGCTAGCCGTTATTAAGCTTTGGGAGATTTCTTCCACATGGTGACAAAAAAGACGTTTGCTAAGAAGGAAAGCTGATTTAAATAACTATAACCTATATAGTGTCCACAAAGTATACCAATTAAAGTGCAATTTGGCAAGAATTCGCCTTTTCGCTATCCGTTCCGACATCCCAACTTTATCGGCATTTTGGAAAAATACTGTGCTTGAATGCAATGATAAATTAGGTACGGTACATTAAATAATGCAACAAACGGCATATGATAAGTTTTGGTTTAAAAGTTATCCAGTTGTAAGCCAAAACTCATGGATAGGACTATACATATAGAAATTTGGCCATATTTACAGGCTAAAAGGAACTGTAAAAGCTTAAATTCTTCTTATCCGTTGGCGTAATAATTTGTTTGATTATTAGTGATATTCGAATAAATTGTCCTCTTACTGATAGGTATCTAAGGGGCCGATTACATGGAGCACTTTCAACCCCCGGATTGAACTCGGCTCTGAGTTGAAAATTTTGTCATGTTATCGCGCGTTTGATTTTGATAGAGTTTTGAATTACAGGCAGGGCTGAAATTTCAACCCGGTCAACAGGGCTGAGTTCAACCCCGGGGTTGAAAATGCTCCATGTAATCGACCCTTTAAGTCAGGTCTTGTAAAAAACAGCTCATAAAAACGTTTGGTTGACATATAACGTTGACAACGCCTATAAATGCCTAAACACACATAAATGGAGCTGTCGCGTCTATTGAGAATTTGGCAAATATTTGTACTTTCAATTAAGCTAGAGAGCATTATCTTGAGTCAAATGCGAAATTCATTTTATACTCGTGTGTATTAAAACTCAAAACAGTTCAGGATAGTAATTTTGTACATAATACTGACATCATCTGTCTCAATTTTTAGTGTAACTATGAATTGGAAAGTTCAATATGCCTTAGTTTCCTTCGTTATTATGTTATCATTATTTCGCAATGCCAACGCGAAAAGAAAAGAAAAATCAAATACAATAAATACGAATACCCGGAAACAAGTGCCATACTATTCATTGCCTAACGCATTTCCAGACGTCTATGGACCCCCTAGTACTTTTGGTAGTGATCGAGGAACGCATGGAAAGCCATACCCTCCGAAACTGGTAGGTAACGAAGACCATCACGGATATGGTGAAGATAAAAGACAGAATAAGGTTGGAGGATGGTGGGGACGTCGTGATACATTGGATGATAACGAAGACCTTCATGCAAATGGCGAGGAGAAAAGACAAAATAAGGTTGGAGGATGGTGGGGACGTCGTGATACAATTGATGGTAACGAAGACCTTCATGGAAATGGTGATGAGAAAAGACAGAATAAGGTTGGAGGATGGTGGGGACGTCGTGATACAATTGATGGTAACGAAGACCTTCATGGAAATGGTGATGAGAAAAGACAGAATAAGGTTGGAGGATGGTGGGGACGTCGTGATACAATTGATGATAACGAAGACCTTCATGGAAATGGTGATGAGAAAAGACAGAATAAGGTTGGAGGATGGTGGGGACGTCGTGATACAATTGATGCTAACGAAGACCTTTATGAAAATGGTGATGACAAAAGACAGAATAAGGTTGGAGGATGGTGGGGACGTCGTGATACAATTAATAATAACGAAGACCTTCATGGAAATGGTGATGAGAAAAGACAGAATAAGGTTGGGGGATGGTGGGGACGTCGTGATACAGTTGATGGTAACGAAGACCTTCATGGAAATGGTGATGAGAAAAGACAGAATAAGGTTGGAGGATGGTGGGGACGTCGTGATACAATTCCTGGTAATGCTTAAGATTACTTTAAATTTTAAATCGACTTTAATGATAGTGATATTTTGAACGAAATAAGGAGAAGGATTAAACATTTTAATAGACGTTTACATAGTCTAACTGGTCACGATATATGTTACCATACTGATAGTTTTATAATCTAGGCTATCTGAAAATTATATTCAATTATATATGTAGTTGTACAAGATATGTAGAGATGATTAAAGGAATGTTGCAGTTGAAGTTTAAATTTTAACAAATTAATTCTAATATTTTTCCTCACTCAGACCAGACAAATAGGTGTCACTGTGTTGTCAATGTCTATAAACAACTTATCCTGCTGATTAAACATTCCACAAGAACTATAAAGCGTTATAAATCCGGTAATGCCGCGGTGTCTCGTGTAGCAATCCTTAAGGTGCGATGTTTGTGGAAACATGTCTGGTATATTATAAACATGTTGTATGCATGGATTTCTTCAGACTTAAAATTAACTATATATTTCCTAAAACTTCCTAATATCCAAACGTTTCGCCGGTTAAGGCTTCTTCAGTGCATGGAATAGTATATATATATATATATATATATATATATATATATATATATATATATATATATATATATATATATATATATATATATATATATATATATA